CTGCCCACGCCCTCCCCCCTACTTTTTTTTATTATTATTATTATTTTTATTTCGTTTTTAAATTAAAGGCCAAAGGAAGAAAACACCCTCTCCAATGTACACTTAATGCATATAGCGTACTTCCCTTGCACCGCCCCCCGCCCCAGCTCCAGCCTTCAATCCCCCTTCACACGGGTATAGTGGCTCGGTACTCTCGGGCTCTTTCAAGGCAGTTAAGCTGCTAAAATGTACTGACAGCTTAAGAAATGAATGAGATTTTTTTTCAGCCATGAAGAAAGGGTATTTAGTAACCACGCTTCGATGGCATCATGCTTCCATGAAACGAGTCCGGACACTTTGGTTTAACAATCAGTAATATCACATTCGGTACAGTAAATGCCTCCATGTACGCTTATATAATTCTATTCCCCCTTGACTATAAGCTTGCCGTATTTATTCCAGGTTACCTGGGCAATTAAGGTAAGGACTGCTCAGCAGATACTGATACCCTGCTGCTAAGGCATGGCGAATGGGGACGGAGCAGTGCGCTAACAAAGAGAGAGAGGTAGTCAAACATTTTGAAGAGGGGTGAATGGGACTGAAGGTGGATGGATGAATGGAGGCAAAGAGGGAGAGGAAGAAGCATTCAATGGTCCAGACTTCTCTCTGCATTTGTAGATTTAAGTTTAGGTGTCCGCCTCTAGCCAGCTTCCAGTTAATCCTCAACAGCTTCTAGTGATTAGAAGTTAGTCTATTTAGCATGCTATATCCTTCTTCCATGGGTTTTAGTTACAAGTTATACGATTAGGATTGCGAGAACAGTAGTGAACTAAACTTCCCAGTAAGAGGTCTTCACACCAGGGAAGTGTTACTTTGCTGCAGCAGCCCTGCCTCGTCAGTCATTAGGAAGCTGCAGGTTGTCAGAGGCTTCTCTTGCGCGCACACAAGCGCAGACACACACGCGCACACACACAAAACCACAGCACTAAAACTAAATTAAGAAGCCGATGATTAAGACAAGCGTCTACAAGGCCTGTCATTTCAGCATCCTTCCATCATAACATTGTGGCACCGAGAAATTTGCTTGAAAACCCTGGAAAAAAATGTCTATGGGAGAGCCTCGTATTTGAGGCTGTTAATATCAAATATAGACTGGGAACTGCCTCGGATGCAAGACAGTATTCCGCAGAGGAAAGGAGCACTGCAGAGACCTTGGTGCTATCCGCGCATTCCTGAAACTCTGGTAAGTATCTCTCCCTTCTTTTGCAGCAGGTACGCACTGTGTAACTGGAACTGGACCGCGTTTGAAATCCGCAGCTATGTTCCCTTCTGGGAAATGCCCCTAAAGATAAATCTGTAATGAAAGGTCCTTACTGGATGACTAATGGTTATTGGCACTCGGTGCCCCTTTGAGGAGAGCAGCGCATATTGTGCCGAAGACCTTGCAAGCACACTTTAAATACAAACCTTTTAAGTTTCCTTCCCATGCATACACATCCCTGTTGTTTTTGGGCTAGCTGTATTGTGTCTCTCCCCCCTGCCCCCCCCCCATTTAGGCTCTCTAGTCTTCCCTCCCCCCACCCCATTCAGAACTAATTGCTCAGTTACTTAAATGTTTCAAAAAGAGCTAAGTTTCTCCATCCGATGATCTTTTGAGAAGCTGCACTGTACCAAAAAGAACCGCCAGCGGGACACTGTATATTTTAGAGAAGCCTGAGCAACTAGGGGAGAGGTAGCGTTTAAAACAATGACATTAATAAACTAAGTGCACTGAGTTCCCTCCTGTTGAACTTTAGGGAGTTTCTTGGGCGGGCAGAGGTTCGACGAAGAACGTCGAAATGGGAAACAATGGCTGTAGGGGCCAGAAAGCTTTGCTGATGTCGTAAGCGTAAAACAAGACAGAATAGTGACAGAAAGAGATCCGGGTAAACATTGGAGTATACATTTCCCACGGCGACTACGCGGAGTGGAGAGGTCTGAATTAAATCGCCTTAATTAAAAGCTGAAGATTTTATTTATTTATTCCTGTAGCTATAGAATGCCATCCACAGAAAGCCTATCTAGGGAGTGTAGAACATCCACTAGATTTATTGTGTTCAGCTGCCACTGCCAGAATTTTTCAGAACAGAATATTTTTATACTCACTGCCAACTTGAAGACCTGCGGGTTTTTAGATCCTATATATCGCTTTTTTAAAATATGCCGGTGTGCAGAAAAGAGCCATTACACCTGCACAGGCAATAGGTCTATCTTGTGTAACACAAGCTCTCCTTAATTCAGAAATCAAACAAAAATATAAAATATCCTTTAAGATTTTCCACAGCGTTATGCAGACGATGATAATAAAATGCAAGGGAGAAATGAACAAGTTAAAAACCTAGTTTTGTTCTCCAGATTTAAATACATAATTTTATTTCTGTTGGGTTTACTGTTAAAATGTTCTAGGCCGGTGCTTTTGTCGGCGTTGTGATATTGAAGCAAAGAATGTGAAATAAAATACGGGGGGAAAAGAAAGACCTGGGGAGAAAAAAGAAAAACAACAAAACAAACCCCAAGTAGTGCTTGAAGAAGACCTCTAGCTGCTCTTTGACTCCTAAGAAACTGTTGCTGGTGTATTTTCATGGTGTTGTTCTAAAGCTCTTCAGCCTCATATAAACGTAATCTTTGGCAAATGACACATGAATCTGGCTTTGCAGTTTTTCGGTGACTCGAGAGAAAAGACGCCCTTTCCCCCGCTCCACCCGCCCCCCCCCCCCCCCGGCTTCCACCCCTTCCTCAGCAGAAGGACAGATAGGGTCTGTCTCTCCCAGCGCCGTTCCCATTCCGTCGCTCCGCCAAAGGCATCCGGGCGCGGGGGGGCGCCGGTGCCCGGGGTGCCCATCCGCCCGTCCTACCTGGCCGTGCCGCGCCCGCCGCTGCTCCGTGCGCCGCGGCCCAGTCCCCGCACCGCGCCTCCGCCGCAGCCCCCGGCTCGGCGGGCTCTCGGACTCGGCCGGGTCAGCTGCGGATCCGTATTTTAGGGCCTACAAAAGCGCGTCATTCTCCCCTATCCTTCTATCTTCCCCCGCCCCGGTCCCCTTGTAACCACAGCAAAATGCCCGGTGTACAAAGAAAGCCACAGCCGACTGTGCACCGCTCTAGGAGAAGGCGTTGGGCAGCCTCGGAGTAGGGATGCTGTTGGCTTTCCCCGTGCCGGGGCTCAGGCGTGAGGAGGTGCCGGAGCGAGGTGCCGCTCCTCGCTCGCGGCCGGACCCGCGCTTGGCGGGTGTCGGGATGATGGGGCTGGAGCTAGCGCCAATGAGGCTGCTCGGCAAGCGGACCCTGCCCGCTCCTTGGTGTCCTGGCACAGGCAGGGCTCGCAGGATCTGCCTCTTTGTGTAGCTTATTCTGAACACTTTTTATGTCGGGCAGGGTGGTCTCCATGTTTTCTTTCTTTCATTCTTCCTTTCTTTAGCGGAGGGAGGGGGGAGTGATGGCAAGGGGCTTGTTGGATGATTATAACCGCTACCACTTAGAAATAAGTTTCTTGGGGAAGGGCTGATATCGTACCCTTGATATCAGTGGGTGTGTCCATGTATTATTTTAATATGATATGCCTTTTATATACAGCTTGTTTTCCTCCTCCCTCTCTCCCCGGCCTCCCCCTCCCCCCCGCTTTGTTTCTGGAATTTGTTTCGCTTTTAAAGCACCAGCACAAACAAACAAACACACAAAAATGACTGGCAACAAGTTAAATCCCATTTGTGTCCCTCCCACCGAGCACGGACCATGTCTCGCTAAAGCCTGGGGCTTGTAGTTTTGCCTCGCTAATAATATGACCAAGAAAATGAAGTGGCTGCAGACAGACTCTCCCGGCATTGACAATGCGGAGAGGAAAAACATAGAAAGATTTCTCCCGGAATGCATCCCCCTGGTGTGGTTTCTTCTCTCTATCTTTTAGATGAGGCACTTGCATAGGTGCTCACACACGCTGAGGTTTTGTTTCCTAGGAGTTTTTAGAAAACAATCTTTATTATAATCGAGCTATACACGCCACCAAATAATGAAATCATGCCGTAGCTACGGGAACTCCAACAAATAAGTAATTTTCATTTGTCTTCTAGCAGAATATTGCAGAGGATGACATTACACATTATTTTCGCATTCATTTCAAAACACCAATGAAAGGGCAAAGAAAAGTCTCTCAAGTCGTTGTACACTTTGGAATTAACGAAACGAAAAATAGCTCTTTCTTATTTTTTCCTCTGCCTTCCAAGGCGACTTCAAGCTAATTTCTGAGGCTATACTAAAGAGGGAATCTGCAAAAGCAACAAGCGTGGTTCTCACTGAATGTCGGCATCGGGTCCCGCTAAATCTTCACTGAAAGCATCTGACAGTGAGCCACCCGCTCGTTTCTGCGCCTTCCCTTAGTTTTACCTTACACAACAATGGAGAAAACATTCGTGCTTGACCGTACTTTAAAACCATCTTTTTACGCAATCCCACGGTTTGCAAACGATAGTTCAACTTTATCTGCTGTGGTGGGCACGTGTTTTGTCATATGAAATTAACTTGTGAAAGCCTTTGTATCATTTTTTGATTTGTGTTTGTCGACGAGGCAGATCATACCTCTCCGTGCTGATGGTTGATTCAATTGCTAAATTAAAGGCACGCTTTAGGCTTTGGAAAACAACAACAAAACTCCAGCCCTCTGAGAGCTCATTCTCAGAGAAACAGCTCGAGGAGCAGTAGAATAACTCACCGCAGTATTTTGTATGTGTTTACGGTCTCTTCATATACTTCTGTATCATTCTGCGTCTCTATTGTCTGTTCCTAAAGATAGCCAAGTCAGTTCTGGGCTTCTCACCTATAATCGCCTACCTAAAAGGACATACGGACAGTATAGTGGCTCTAAATTATTGGAGGAATGTAATTGGCGTGTATTTTCCCCGTGTCTTTTTTTTTCCATGATAAATACTAGCAACCGAACTGCTTGTCTTGGTGTGTTTCTATGTTTGAGCTCCAAGAAACTCCTCAAATAATTGCAGTAAGGTCATCAATCCTTCCTATGCACACTGGAGATTTTTTCCCTCTCTTCTTGTTCTGCTTCTCATTTCCAAGGACAGCGTGTAGAGCCAATGATTTGGTTTAGGCACTTCTCTGGACTTTCAGACTTTCAATTTAAAGCTTTCAGTATGTTGGGACTGAAATAATGATTTTCCACATTTCAAAAGGGACGAGGCTCTATTTATAAATGTTACAGAAGGTTTCGTTACTTCAGGATCAACAAAACAGGAATAGAACTGCAATTTTCAAGAAAATAGGATTTCAAAATATAGAAATAAAAAAGTAGTGGAGATGATGTATAATTCAATCAAATTACAGAAAATTGCTTTAAAATTCAGAACAGTAGCGATCCATTATGTCTCTGTTTTATTAGTGACAAGTACAATTACTCTAAAATAAAGAACAGTGGTGAATATATAATTGGCTGTAATCATGTTAGTGTTTGAATAAAAATGACGGGGACATTTAACACTTTGACAACAAAATGTTCAGAAAGAACTTATTTATTCAAACAGTTTTTATTTGCATCCGCATGAAGGAGAAACACACTTTTGCTTACGATAAATCCAGGGGTTTTCACTTTCAATAAAAATATAACTAAAAAGATATTAATTATTTTACTATCCAAAGCTTAGTAAAGTCTCCTGAGTATGACTGTACTATTATTGATTACTCAGTACCCAAAGGACGCCATCTACAGGAAGAGGTCTCTAGACTTAACACCATTCTAATCAATGTTGATAAAAAAAAAAAAAAAAAAAAAAAAAAAGAATCTGAGTTAATATTCCTCTATAAATCCGGCTCCGATTTTACCCAAAACACCGATCACAATATTTGCTTTGTAATTGCTTCTTGTGATTCAATTCATTATAATTTGACACGATCTAGGAATCTGTTATAGGAGGCCTTTTCTCTGAGATACGGCATTTAAAATAATTCATTGAACTCTCCAAAGCAGCAGTTTTTCTCCTTCTAAAGCGACTTTCTTTTCCCCCCTCTCAGGACTGACTTGATCGTCTCTGAAAATGCAGAACAGCCCATGAGATCTCTCCTTTCCACCAACCGTGTGGAAGATGCTTGCAGAACAGCCCTGAAAACAAAACAACTTAATTGAAGGCAGTTCGTGCAACAATTGTGTCGTGGAATACCTAACATTTCTTTATCTGTAACTAACTTATTTAATTTTGGATAGTTCAATAAATGTCAGCTATGCCAAGCATACTCCCATCCGTTCTTACGATACATCCTTTGCCCCGTATCTTGGTACTTAGAGGCGCCATTTAGCCGTAGCCCAGCAAGGGCTCGGAAACCTATCGAAGTAACAAGAGAGCTCTTTACTATTTTGACCACACAAACACAGATCCATGGGAATGGCTTATGTCCTCCGTGACGCGACTCCAACAGCTACAGACTACAGAAAATGCGAAGAGAGCTAGAAGAAACTTTCAGGACTCCTCTGCCAGGAGGCTTTTCAAAATTACTATTTTCGGGTTTAACCCCGAACGATTTTTTCTTTTTTTATTTTCTTATTTTCAATTTTTTTTTTTTTTTTTTTTTTTTTTACTCCCCCGCCCTAGCAAGTCTCCAAATTTCTGCTCCTGGTGTGTGTGTTCGTGCTCACAGCGGGGTGGACCCCACACCGATCCGAGCGGGTCCCTCCTGCCGTGAGGCGAGCGCAGCTCGGTCCGACCGCGCCTTCACTGCCGGCTCCCAAGGGTCTCTCCTGCCCAGGCGGCTTTCGCCAGCACTTGTGAAATACAGTAGCTCTGGTTTCTTTCTACTTCAGATGAGCGATATGAATGGGCTTTGAAAAATTCGGGAGAGTGTTATAGGGGTGGTGTATAAACTACACAGTAAGGAGTCAAAAGGCAGAGGTGCGTTGGCACAAAGGCTGAGGTAAATGACCCACGGTGCAACCTCGATTTTAAGTGTTATTTTGTAAACCGGGGACAAAAGCCTGGAAACTATTGTTATTTATACTTCCACTGGAATCAGGCTCAAAGTTTATACCGAAGGTCCCCCTCTATCTTTTCACTTCTGGGCATTGACCGTGAACATTCCAAATCTCTAGATTTGGACTATAGACTGTCGTATGGCTGTTTTCAGATTTGAGGAAAGCTCAGGAGAGGAGGTTTCCTTCCCTGGGGCAAGCCTCTCCTGCAGGCGCCGCCGGGGCTCGGTGGGTCCCTCCCCCGCCGGGAGCCGAGGCGGGGGCGCCCCTCTTAACCGGGAGGTCTGTCATTTCTCGGGTGCCTCGTACCAAATCGCAGATGTCAGCCTTTCCCTACGTGTTCGGGCTGCTAATGCGGGCACTTCACACAACAGAAATGCTCAGCTTGGGAGCTTTTCCCAGGGCCAGCCGCCGACTTCGTGCTTCGCATCTGCCTCTGGCAGCACCGGAGCTCCATGTGGGGGATCCCAGTGTGCGCAGTAGCCTTTACCGATAGCAGCATATTCCCGTGGGAGCCAAGCACCCGCAGTGCTCTGGCCCCTGCAAACCGGCCGAAGCACAAACTCCGTACATCTCCACGGGAACACGCTACCCAGGTTCCCGGCTCCAAGCTCCTGCATGTCTTCCGCAGAGACCTTTTATCGTCGAAATTCACACCATAAAGCCCCTCACCCAGCAGGCCAACGTATCGCCGACAGAGACGGCCGCGGCCGGGGCCGCAGAAAGGCTTGCCGCCCCTGGGACTCCGAGGTTTCCCCCCGAGACCCGGTGCCTGCGGGGAGGGCGGGGGCCATGTGCGACTCCTCCCGGGCAGGCCCGCGTGGAGCGGAGCGGAGCGGAGCGGAGCGGAGCGGTGCCCGCCGGCCGTGCCCGGGCCCGAGCGGGCGCCTGCGGCGGGGAGCGAGCGCCATCCGAACGGCGCCGGCGACATCTAGTGGCCACGGGCCGCCAGCGCCCGCCGCGCCGCTCCGGCCGGGGACAGCCGTGACCCGCGGCATCGCCCGGCCGGGGACAGCAGTGACCCACTGCACTGCCCGGCCGGGGACAGCCGCGACCCGCGGCACCGCCCGGCCGGGGACAGCCGTGACCCGCGGCTGCGGCACTGCCCGGCCGGGCCCGGGGCGGGGAACGCGTCCCGCACCCCCGGCCCGCCCGCACGGGCCGCGCCGGCGCTTTCCTAAGCGTCAGGCACCGCTGCGCTCCCCCTCAAACGGCCTAAGGCTTTCTGTGCAGTGTTGGTACCAGTAGAAAACGGGTCAGTTTTACATTTGCCTACACGGGGCACCGAGAAGAGAATTACGAGTACTTTCGTCTCCCCCTCTCGCCTCCAAAGGACTTCCGTGAAAAAAAAAAAATCAGACGCGCAGGAGTGACAGCTCCTGCCACTTTCACCCTGAGAGGTGTCCCGCTGGCAGGCGCCGTCCCTTCTCGCACTGCTGGGGCACCTCCCAGACCTGCGAAGAAGAGAGGAGGGAAAAAAAAAAAAAAAAAAAAAAAGCAGTATTGCGGAGACACCGCTGGCGAAAGGAGCCTCACTATTTAAATCCCAGTGTCAGCTCTCATTAACAGTTCAAGTCATCTTTTCCCCGGGGCAGACCTTGTCTGGTCTATCGACTTAATGGAAAACAAAACACATGTTTGTATTCTATTATTGCAGTCTCGTTCCTTGCCTTACGGAGAGCAGGGACAGGCTTCGTCCGCTTAGTGACAGGCTTCCCGAAGCGACAAAGGTTTCCACTCGTTCCTCCCTCCTGCCCTCCCAGGAAAAGATGAGTATTCCGACGTCCGTCTCCTGCCCTTTCTCATGAATAGGGACTGCAATAGAAGCCATAAGAAAAGGCTTTCGCTGAAGCCGCGGTGGCTAAAAAGAGCCCAAGAAAAATAGTTACTGGTATGTTCGGTAAAACTTAGCAAGGCACAATAGTCTCTGCGGGAAGCTTTGGGGGCTATGTGTGCAGCAGGTGAAGTTCTCAGCTCGGACCCAGCTGCCTGGACCACCGCATCTCCCAGGAGGCCGGCCGTGAGGAGATGGGCACGCTAGGCACTAACAAGCGACAGACTGAGAGAGTTTTGAGACAACCAAAACAAATAAACAAGCTCTCCCAATCTTCCACTGGGAAGATGGCTTTGATAAGGAAGCAGGGAAAGTTTTGAAGAGCTGCAGACATTTTTGCAAATATATTTTAACTGGTCTAAGTAGCTGAAATAAATTGGGTGGTTGTTGGCTTGTTTTGTTGTTGTGGTTTTTTTTCTCTCCTTTTTATTTATTTTTTTTTTCCCTGAGACAAGGCTACGGGAAGGGGAGAGTAAGAGCTTGATAAAAGAAAGGAATACATTTCTCAACCAGGGAAAGCAGGGGAGGTCTATTGAAGTGACGACCTGACTTGAATGAGGAAAAAAAATTATTAATTTCACCCCATCCCCAGTGCTTTCGTTGAGGTACAGGTCTGTGCGCAGCACCAAGCACCGGGCACTTGAACCTGGCAAGAGTAACTGATCGAAATGAGCTGTCCTAATGTCCACCTGGTCGCTCTGCTGAAACATTTTAAAGCCATCTCCAGCTGATCTCCCCCCTACCCCCAGCCCCAGTTCGGGACGCCCAGGAAGGGTGTGAATGGGAAATTGCCCAGAGGTAATTGCCCAGAGGTAGCACCGGTCCCAGGGCTCTCCTTGGGCGGCTGCGGGGTCCCAACGGAGGGAGCGGGTTTCTGGGCCTGGGTCCCTTGCCCGCCTGGGGTGCTCCTGACATCTCGGCACAGAGAGTAGGGCCCCCAACTTTAGCGCTTTTGAAGCGTCGTTTGCTCTCAAGCGCTTGGCTGTAAATAATCGCTATAGCAGTGACAACACAGACGTCCTGCAGTCAGAGCGGAGTCTGCCTCTGCACCTTTCCTCTGCAACACACGCCGTCAGCGTTTTAATTCCAGCTCCAAAGGGAACCTGCAATTATAAGCCCCCCTCGTCCCCTCCCGCTCACATTCTCTTGTCTGAAACATTCACTGAGGAAGGCTATTTGGATTGAGAGTAAAATCAAACAGGGAGGGGAGGAAGAAAAAAAAAAAAAACAAAACCAACATAAACCCAACAACCCCGCAAACCCTTCCATTTGCTATTTACAAACCTCATTGTCATGCTTCACTCAGGCTGTCTGCCTAGCTTAGGGAAATAAATGTGACTGAACCAGAGACAAAGCCGATGCAGCTGTATTTGAATTTCTCAAACACTGTCAAACGTGCTCTTGTCTCATAATTCTCGGGGTTGTTGTTATTATTATGAACATCATACCTAATGTGAACATACTCGAAAGAGAGCTGCTTGGCAGTGGAGAGATGTGGCTCCGATCGGGATTGCACAGAAATTACTTTAGCAAAATAAAAAAGGATAAGAGCTCGTTTCCCCTCCTGCTTGGAAGCCTAGGCAGATAAATTAAGGAATATTTGAGACCTATAATTTCCCTCCTTTTTTTAACCCCTTCTCTCTCTCTTTTTTCTTTTTTTTTTTTTCTTTTCTCTTTTTGGTTCCTTGTGTTTTCTCGATTCCCGCAGAAGCAGGAAGAAGAAGTTAGGTTTGACTATCTAATTTCCCAGGTGATAACCCACTTCGGCAGCCCTGCACGGCAGCCGCGGTGGGAAGGAAAACGAGAGCACTGTTCGTTCCCTTAAGAGGGAAAGGTGTTCGCTAGCGGACACCGCCGAGCCGTCCTGCCAGCCTCCCTTTCCGGGGGTTCTCAGGTGCCTGCCAGTGTGCTCGGTGTTTGCAGGGCTACACGAAGCGAGTCCTTGCTCTCGACTCCTTTGGAGACGAGGAGGCTAAAACATTCCGAGGCCGCCACAGGAGGCCTCTAAGGGACACCTGGGAGCATTCCCATGTATCTCGCCTTACATGCCCCGCTTCCGACGGGAATGAGCAAACCCTGCAGGCCACTTTCCCAAGCCCCGCCGTCCCAGCAAGCCGGGCGGAGCGGGGAGCGCTGCGGAGCTGTCGGGAAGCCTGCCTGCCCCTGCAGTGGCCCGCTGGCCTCGGCCCGCAGCCTCGGGCAGCCTCGGGCCTCGCCCGGCCCCGCCGCCGCCTGCGGCAGCGCCCCTCGACGTGTCGGGAGCGGAGCGGCGCCGGCCCAAGGCAGCACGGAGCACTGGCCCTGCCCTCGGCATGTCCTGCCAGACCTCCCGGGTGCCGCTGCCACCTCAAGTGGCGGCTGACCCCGGGCTCTGGGGAAAAAAGGGGTCCTGCAAGCCGCGGGGGCAGACCTCGCGACCCCAGGTGTAAGCTCCGTCCTCGCCATCCACCTGGGCAGCATCTCCCCAGCCCTTCGTTTTTCTTTTTTTTTTTTTTTTTTTTTTTTTTTTTTTTTTTTTTTTTTTTTTTTTTTTTTTTTAAATCTAGCTTCTTCGTTGCCACACTCCTCAGACGGCCCTTCCGAGCTCCCTTGCGGGGAAGAAGTCTCATCTCATCTCTTCCCGGCAGGACCACCGCCCCCGAGCTGGGCCGCCCTCTCTCCCCAGCTCCTTCGCTCCGTGCCCTCGGCGATTTTCGTTGCACGGTGTCCTTCAGTGAGTGGAAGCAGAGAAATGAAAAGTACTGTGATCAATTATTAGTTTTAGACCATATTTATGGACGTGTAGTAGTAATAACAGTTATTTACTTTGTCGAAACGTTTATTTCACACTTGGTATATTTCCTTACAATCGGAGAACCAACGTGGGAAAAATAAGCACAAATAAACTAATGCACGCAAAGTACGGTTTTAGCTAAAGGTGATCCTTCTCCTGTCTAATTTTCCCGGGTGCGTTTCTTCCTCCTGACATTAATTCAAACCAGCGAAAGGGCTAAATAGATTAATCTCTAGCCCTCAAGTCAAGCAAGAAGCAAAATAATAATTTACTTGTCTGCCCCCTTCATAAAAGACTAATTTTTCCCCCTTTCTTCAAATTGTGGATGAAGAACAACCAAAAACCAAAGCAGCCAGGAGGGCAGGAGCCCTTTTCGGTCTCTCGAGGCTATGGCCAGTGTACTCCTGCTCTCTCCTTGGTCCTGCGGACTCCCTTGTTCACGCTCTCTTCAAGAATTGCCGGAGATCGCCTTCCCCCGGGGACGCAGGCTGCTTTAACACCTCCTCACCAGGCTTTGTCCCTTTTGAAGCTTTATAGATTCTCTAATTTGTTAGCAGCACTTTGACTGTCCCCAGCTCAAGGAGGGGAATGATGACAGAGGCAGGGAAATAGACACCTCTCTGGGATTTCACAGTCTTAGTGATAGTGCTTTCACATGCACATGTTTCATACATCGCTGACATCAGGGTGACCTCAGCGAGGGGGACAGGGAAGGGCTGGGGAGGGAAGAATTTTAAAAAGATGCAGTTCTACTGTGTATGTCAAGGCTTTCAAGTAGAATAGTGCTTTATTCCAAGGCAACACTTCCCTGTTGAGGGCTCTCGGTCTTTGAATTGCTTCAATTCTCATATTCTAGGTATTTATTTTATCACCAGCGACTGTGTGCGACAGTATAAATATCCACTGGCAAACAAAAAGTGATCCTGGTTGCCCGCAAATGCTCTGCAGTGAGGTGCGACAGCCAAGTTGGTCCCTCTCGCACGGAGCAGCCGCTGCCCCTTCCCCACCACCCAGCCACGGCGCCTGCTGCTCTGCTCCGGATCATGAGGAGCTCTGACCAACGAGCCACGCTTATGACACCATCCCGTCCTCCATTCATTCCCAGTCTTTATATTTGCCCCACGGTTAAAACTGACACTTTTTATGGACCATGGCAACTTGCTGTGGGATCTGCCGGGGCAAGAGCAAGAAATTCTGGAGAGGGCAGGGCACCTCACCAATAGTCACAGGTGTCAATTTGGAAATGTGTTTTTTGTATCCGCCCCTGTGACACATGCAGTCTCCAGTCTGTTGTCTCCTTAGGGGGCAGCAACATGCTGCCCTTTTCCCTAGATACCTAGTCTGTATGCAGCGTCCATAAACAATATATCTGACAGTATTAGCTGGAAACAGAGCCTTCAATATCTTCCTGTTCTGTTGGTGGGGCTGCCCCTAGATAAAGTCCCACCAGCACCGAGAGATACCCGCTGTCACTGCACTTCAGGACCCTTGCCTTGTGCCCTGGTCTTGAAGAACAGAGAACAGGGCCAAAGATGAAACTCAGCAGTCAGCTGGACCACTGTCCCAGCCCTGCAGATCCCTCCATGCAGCACAGCCCTCCCTTTTGCAGCACAGTCTGCTCAGGACTCCAGCATCAGACATTCCCAAGTAAACCTGTAGGGCTGACATTGCACAGACTGCTTGGTTTTTGACCCTGCTCTTCAGTCCACATTTTTTTCAAACCCCTGCTCTGCCAGCAGCTCCAACTGGAGAATTCCTCTGTTCTCTCAGGTACCTGTATGTTTATAGTCCTGATAGAAGAGACAGAGTAAAAGAGGAAGACATTTGGTCTTTAGACCTACAGTTCTGGTGCTACTTTGGCACAGTGTTACTGCTTGAGCAGCTCTACCTTCAACTACAGTACACTTCCCACTTAGATAAGGTTCTTCTAGTTTGTGAGCCAGTTAATTCTCCTGGTAGCTGTCTGAGATTATAGCCCCGTCTTTCAGACAAAGCAAGGCAGGTAAGTTGAAACTTTATAACCACAAATTACTTACATTTTTCCACAAGTTAACTATTTTAGTTGATTTAGACAGATCACACTGGATAATAAAATACCATCTGAAACCTACCAGGAAGTTTTCAACATATAAAAAAATGCCAATCTTATTTTATCTCTGGGAAAGATAATTGTTTGCCCTTGATGTATGCTTTGCATTCTTGAAGTATATCTTTTGAGATATAATATCAATTTTGAAATCTTATATATGCACCTTTACAATAGTAATGGCTTTCCACAAGCTCTGTGGGAGGTGACATTTCAGCAAGATACTTCCCCTTGACTTTGTTTATTCCAGCAGTTTAAATTCTACCTCTGGTGATAGCTGTTAACTTGGCAAAGTGAAAAGTGCTACATGATGTATACTGTGCTCAGTCAGCTCATCAGAAGCTTACCAATTACGACTGTGGAGCCCATTCTTCTTGCCACAGCATGCCACCCACCATGCATAACTGGGACAGCTGATCTTCACATGTGCATAAAATCTGAAAGTATGCACACATTTACTCAGAAGCCATGCAAAGCAGGCACAATAAGTCTGCTGTTTCTTAGAAGCCTTTTTATTTCCCACAATAGCTCATACACAAGCAGTTGTAGAAAATTTCTTGCTCCCTGCCTGCCTTGGAAATGTGAAAAAGGGGAGCTTTTGAATATTACCCTACAAGCTTTGTACATGTCAGGCATTCAGGACACCTGTGTTGGGACCATATCATTAAGATAGCTGTGAAATAGGAAGTTGCAGCTATCAGGATTATCCATCTCACCCAGGGCTTGGTCTTCATCCACATCTTTGAGGTGCTTGGGAAAGAAGGTATTGGGAAGCAGATTGTGGACTCAATGAAATAACTGAAATGTGCTGGAATGGTCCATAAATTGGGCATCTAAGAATTATGAAATGAAGAAATTTTTTAACAAAAGCCTTTGTATGCCTGTTTCTGCAGGATGAAATCTAATTTCTGTTTAAGGTCTCCTAATGACATCAGCAAGGCAAGATTTAATTCTAGACAGATGCTATTTATCAAGCATATAGGGAGCGTTTGAGCTGCAAAAATAATGCTACCTTCGAGCATTCATTTTTGTTTAGAATATCCAACTGAACATACAAAGTCCAGATTGGGCTTTTTGTTCAATTGCGATTTGCTCTTATCCAAAGATACGATTTTCTTTATTTTGAAGCAACTATTTTCAAAGACATTTAGTGCCAGACTCTGTCACCTTTGACTGTAGTTTCTTTTTCATCAGCTAAAATAGAAGTAACTCTGTTCAAGTAAGCAGAGTAACACTTATGAAAAAACAGAATAAATAATCAGAGAATCAAGCCCTTTGAATAGAAAATGACTCCATAAATAGTCCCATTGATTTCAGCAGTATTTTATGACATAAGTAGCTACATTAGTGGAAGCAGCATACAAGACCCTTTGGGCTTGGACAGAGAAAAAAGTTCCCCAAGTTATAATTATGAAAAAAAATATTCCATAGCAGATCAGCTAGTTGACATGTTACTAGCTTATTCTATGACTTATCATGTTACTAGCTTATTGTATGACAAAGACAGAATCAAGTGAGTTGATGGTAAGGATGATTCCTCTGTTAGCTGCTGTGACATGAAAGTGAGTCCCTTATTTGCAAAAAAGAGAAAGCAAATAAAGCCACACCAGTAAAATACTTTTCATTACCCTTAAAGAAATGCTTCTTTAAGTCAGAAAGAACATTTTAGCAAATGGAGTTGCCCCTTAGTGTTTATGGACAGTACTGAAATGTGAGAATGTCATGACATAGTCTCCCCTGGCTCTATCAATTTGTGAGATGGAAAAATTATTTTGCTTTCTTTTCCTTGAAATCTGGTAAAAAAATAAATTACGTCCAAACATGCTGTCTTAATTGTTTCTTTGGCTAAACACATTTCTTTAAAAAAAAAGAAGTATTCTCTGGAAATGTTTTGTGGCATCTCTAAGCCTTAATATGAGACGTGTGTCAGGCTCCAGAGAGCAGTAAAACACCTACCCAGATTAAAGTCTTCTGGAGCCAACAAAACTGTTCCTGGGATCTAATTGCTGTGCTGTGGACCATTTTTGAAAGTGACTTTGAATGGTTTAACTCCACTTAGAGTGCTAGAACTTGATGCACAAGAGCAGGGGAAGAAACCATGATGATTGGGGAATATAACTGCCTGACTAGAAATGGCATCAGATGCTCCATACCGTCCTGCCAGTACTGAACTTGGAGTCATCATTCTTGGGGAAGCAGGTGATGTATTTTCAAGTATTCAATAAGAACTGTGCACCCACGTACATGCTACTGCTGAAAACTTTTGTAATTACAGTAATTTTAATGAAACCACATCAGCTTTGTCCTTGCCTTTCTCTCATTGCATTTCTTTGTACTCTCTTCTTGTCATATCACATAGTGACTGTAAAAAATGTTTTGTCCAAATACAAACTCCCTGTTCTGAGTGCCACTCTGCTATCAGCAGGAATAGTATTTCAAATAAGATGCTGGGCATTTGCCTCTATGAATAGCTTCTTCTTTGCACATGCTAGATTGTGAAAAGCAGATATATATCTTTTGAGTGCACATTTTTCATTAAGAACCTCTAGAGCACAAAAGGAAGGGGTCACTAAAAGGTGAAAAAAGGATATCTTTAGCTTTATCGCAAACGGTTCTCTGCTGTGTTTCCTCAGTTATGGCCAAGCTGTGGCTATTTTCTATTGAGTGCAGAGCATTCTTATTCCTGGAAAATTTTAAAGGGAAATACTTTGAATAAGATTCTACAGTGCTGATTTTTCAACGCTATCTGACAGTAGTCTGCCATTTCTTTTCTTTCCCTGTAGCAGTGAAGTGACACAAAATGGATAAAATTTTTCCTCTCTGTCAGGTAAGGACGAGGCTGTGTGCCACCCCACACCTATACTGTCCATGCTGTTATCCTGTGACTGAAGGGTAAGAGGTCTGCCTTTACCCCCAGTTCTGGGAAAAAAATCCTGTTTGGTGCTCACAGAGTACCTTGCAAAAGCAGTTGGAGGAGGTTAGATGGAGGCTGGTCCCTTACACTTGACTTTTGTAACCTTTTGGGTTAGGAATACTCTCTTGCTGGTATGGGTTCCTAGTGAATTATTGATACCCTTGAAACAGAGAGGACAAAGAGAAGTGAATGAGATATTTGTGAACCAATACAGCAGCAAAAGATTCCTAAGAATGGGGTTCTCACCACCTCACCACAATCTGGAGGGATATTTGGTGCTGGATGCAATTCTGGTCCCTAGTGTCATAAAAACTCAGCTCCCTGCTTTTTATAAAGTGGTACTCTAAAAGAAAATGTCTAGGTTACTAGTAAAAAGTCTACCCAAACTCTCAGAAAACATAAATTAAATAAATAAATTAGGCTGTTTTCTGAAAATAATTTTTTTTCCTAAGCAATCTCTTGATATTTAGGGAGGAGAGGGAAAATATTTGGTTTATTTTTTTTTGGTGTTTGGATAATTTTTCCCATACTTATCCTGAATAATGAAAAAAAATTGAAAAGGATCTTTTGAAATATTTCCATTACTGAGAGATTTTGTTACGTCTTACTCTGTTTAAAAAAGTCAATAACGTCTAGTAAGAATTAGCTAGGAGTTTTAAGGGATCCTGATTTTTTTTTCAGTTTTATTTTCTGGACTGAAACAATCTTCTTTCCCTTTCCCTTTCCCTTTCCCTTTCCCTTTCCCTTTCCCTTTCCCTTTCCCTTTCCCTTTCCCTTTCCCTTTCCCTTTCCCTTTCCCTTTCCCTTTCCCTTTCCCTTTCCCTTTCCCTCTCCCTCTCCCTCTCCCTCTCCCTCTCCCTCTCCCTCTCCCTCTCCCTCTCCCTCTCCCTCTCTCTTTCCCTTCCTTGTTTTTTTCCCCCTCTTCATTCCTTTCCCTTTTTCTTTCAAACCAGCCAACAAAACTGCCTAACAGATTTTAATTTTTTTAGTTCTGTTCTGAGATAAACTTTCTACACAAGATAGTACCAATCAGAAGCCCAGTAGCCCAGTGCTCTTGAGCGGCTCACAAACCACCTCTGCAGTATCAGTGCTACTTGATCTGACTGCATCGGTAGCAGAGTGTCCAGTTTCACCGGCTTGACAATGGTGGCAGGAGAAGGAGTGAAAATTGACAGCAAGTTGACAGAATGCTATTGGGACTATTCCTCTAGGGTCCATCTCAGAGTAATTTTATCCCTATGCCACTGAACAAACTCACGAAAAATCCAACAAGTATGCCACCAGAGTAGCTGTCATAGGGAACTGATTTAACAGCAGTGTGTGTTTTTAGGTGTTTGTTATGATCGAAGTTTTCTTTTCAGCCCTGGGGTTATCCTTATATACAGATGGAGACATAAAAGAAGATGGGTGAAAACAAAATCAGATGGAAAGAGGAAAATATTTATTTCCTTCATGTATTTGCATTGTGCTGAGTGCAGCAGGGTGCTAAGATGGACTCCTCAGATGCTATCACTGTAACTGCAATATCATGTAGCTCTATGTCCCATCAAGCTCCTCTGCCAAACTCTATAATGTGATCACTTAGTTGGCTGTGTACAATCTATACAATTTAAAAGGAAAATGATTTTTCTTTTAGATACTGAGCTAATTTTGTGTTCCTGTTGGTATTCAAAATTCATTGCAATGAGGAGTCGTTTTATTGTTGTGGCTCCTTTGTTGTGTTTTGGCTTCTGCTGTCTTAATAAAAACAATGAAACAAATGGTTCTGAGAACAGCAGAGCTAATGAAGTCATGTTTTGAGGACTTGCATTTGACAGTTTTATATCCCTTCCTTTGTCCCATTACAGCAGCTTTGACCATTTAAACTGAGGTTTATGCCCAACTCCATTAGACTTGCCCCTCTCCAGTCTGCACAGATGCCTTTCAAGCCTGCAGGTATCAGCTGTGCAGAGGACATTATGCGCTCTCCGTGGCTCAGAGCTGCTTTTGCACTGACATGCCAGCAGAATACTTGCTGACTGGGTAGCAAGAGGTCAATCAAAAAAGGTAACTGCTGAGCTGTCACTGATGTTTTATTCCTAGTGGGACAGCAATCTGGCTCTGTGTCCTGTCTCTAGACATCAATTTAAATGAAACTTGTGAGACTTCTCTTTAAGGCTTTGACCTCATTCTTATCTTTTTCTGAATTTGGCCAGGGGTTTTGGAGGTTATGAGCATTACAAGGACAGACAGACAATATATCTCAGGTAGATCAATAATACAATATTTATAAGGGCTAATTTAAAATAAAAAGTTAAATTTCCAAACCAAATTGTCTCTCATAAACAAAATAGCTGTAACATTATTGTGGTTTGTATTACTAATTCCTACAAGGACTTTGAATATTTCACTAGGAAAGATTTTTGATAAAATATGAGTGAGAGAAAAACACATTATTTAAAGGCATCATAACAAAATATGCTAGTTAGGAGTCCATCTAGGCTGAGAAAAGAACATTTGAATTATGGCATTGACACTGAAATGCTTTTTTTGTTTTGAATTTTCATCTGGCTCAGAACTTTGCACTCTTGTTGTGTGATTTTGACTATCTGTTAGAGCATTCAAGCTGAATCATAAATAGCAGTATCGAAAACATATGCCACAGGGGAAAGAAATATGTAATAAAACCAGCTGTCATTATATGATAATGAATTTCACTCACTACTGAGTTGGATAAGTGTTTTTCATAGGGAAACAAGTGGCAAATTCAGCAAAGAAAAATGTGTGTAAAACTTTCATGTTTTTAAGCCAGCCCTAGAAGGTCTAATTCACTTTTATCAGTGGGAAAAATAATATGGGACTAATTTTGAAGCTGAAAACATCTAGTTTATTAAATTGTGAGTAAGAGAAACATGGTAATGGTTTTCACATATGTAGGAGAGAAATAGTTTTAAAGCACTAGTTTTAGGGTACATAGTCATGAGAAAGAAGAAATAAATCACGCAAAAAAATAAATCAAGTGTTTAAACACTCCTAAAAGTTAGAATTTATTAGACAGAGAAGTAACTTGAAAAATGTCAGTAAAGATTTCATTATCTTGGAGAACTGGAAAAGTTTGGCTGCATTATCAAATTTATGTAATGAGAAATATTCTAACTTTAGAGTGGGAAACTTAGATTGCGTCATTGTTCATTCACGGTTTTAATTTCTATTATTCTATGACTGAATCTCATGTTGAGGTGCCTTTCCTCTCCTGGAGCTAGCTAGCAGATAAAATAAGCATGCATATAATAGCAAATAAGCGGTCAGGTTAGCTTTTGCATAGAATGGCCGCAGAGTATTTTTGCTATTAGGACAACGGTCTGTAAATTTCTTTCAAATTCTCTATTTAAAGTAGGTTGAACTCCAGCTGGTGACTATTATGTTCTGAAATGGTGTTATTATCTCCAAGGGAATACTGCAAGAACACAACTACTTCAGGAATCTCTCCTCAAGGACAAAGTTCATACACATGCTCCCTCCCACCTACACACCCACCCACCTTGTATATGTATAGATATCTCCTTTAATGAAGAATTGTAATTATAGATCATATTTTAGCATAGCTGAAAGCAAATAATTTCTCTTTGGAAAGATATGGGCTCAGTTGCAGGATGTAGGAACAAATTCAGTGAGAATAAAGCTGCAGATTTCTAAATGTGCAATATATTAAATAAATCCACATGACTAAACTTCCACATGACTAAAATCACTTGATTCAGAGATGTTTTCAAGATACATGAAAAAGAGTGTCAGCTCATAACGGGAAGAACAAAATTTTTGAATCAGATGTAGTGTAACGCAGTAAGTGAGTAAGCTTGTAAGGTCTTACTGAGCTTGTAAAAGCAAAATAACATATTTGCATTGTCAGAGAATTCACTGGAAAATACGGTCATGTAAACAGATAGGGTGCAAATATTGCTTTCCTCTGGGATTATGACCTGAAGGTTGCTTGGCATAATGTCATATGAGTAGTTGTGGAAAATCTTCCAGTTTCATTTCTGTCATTTGGATTTGTCACTGTCTTAGAGGGCACAAAGTTTCATGGGTGCTTTTTAGAAATTTTCTGAAATCCACCAATAAGATTTTTTTTGTTATTGTGTTTTGGCCTCTGGCATTTAAGGCACTAAGGAAAACTAGTAGGTTTGATCAGGCACAGGCCACTTGCTGTATTGTGCATAGAGTCTATTGGTCCTGAAAGACCCAGCTGGGCTGCTGTGAAGGGAGGGTAAAATCTTTTCCTTTCAAGTGTGCTAGGCTGCTGCACTGGGAGTTTTGGGAGACACACCCAGGTCTTGCTATATAGTGCCTAGCTCAAGTGGAAAGACCTTTTATGGAGACAAAGCTCCAGCTCTTTTCCGACAGACCCCTGCCAATCAGTCACAGCGCAGACTGTTAGTATAAGCAGCGCTCAATGGTGTTCATCTAATGTATAGCTCTTCCAGAAGACACTTGCCATAATTTACAGCAACCCCAAGGTACCATTAACTTCTGCTGAAACACAGGATTCTGCCAAACTGGAAAAACAGAGATTCTCAGGTCTCTGTATGCAGTTTGGAGAGCTGTTCCTTATTGAATGTTTTGTTTTTCCAGCTCAAATGAGGGTAAATCAACATTTTCAAATAACACATGTATGTGCCAGTTTTATTAGAATTTGTCTCTCTTACATTTTTACAGTGGCCCATGAAAATCAAATCAAGATAATAGCAGAAATAATTGACCAAAGAATAGCAGTTTCTTTAATCAAGCGAACATGATGATTAAATCAAAAGCTTCAGATCTGTGGATATCATCAATGGTCTTTTGACTATTAATAACAATATGCTATCAGCGAATTTTAAAAATGCATTTTTGGAGGGTGAAATGTCTACATCTAGATGGAGAAAGGTCAGAACAGTATTATTAGTAATTAAATCCATTAGTGGTACTGTTGACAGTTTTTCAAGTGATTTAGATTAAAATATATCACTGAAGTACAGCAATACTTAAACAAGAAAAGATCCTACAATTGAAATGATCCTACAATGAAAAAATCCTAAAAAAGTATGCTTTCCCTGGAGTCTTTAATCCTTAATAAGATCTAAATGGTACTTTTTAATAATTAATATTAATACTACTACTACAACAGCAACAACAACAACAGTAGAAACCAGAACAACAAAATATCACTAAAGAGAGGCTTGCTTTCCTTCAGAAACCTTGGCAGAAATATACAACAGCACTGAAGCCTCAGAGACACCATTGCTTCTTTTTGTTGTGCTGTAGCCACAGGGAGGGTGAGCCTTCAATTCCTTTTGTGCACAACAAAGCTCTTCAGCACAAGAACACATTCAGGCCTGTAGGGATTTACCAGCTTAGGGAAGCAACAGCAAGCATATGCTGGCTGTTACCACAGGCTGTGACAGTGTGGAGCTTTCCAGAACCAAGGTGTACTCGTGCACCAAACACCATCGCTTGCATAGTGCAGATATATTTGCATATATTAGTCCACTAATAGTGAAAGACTACCTGTATATCCATAAAGATGCATGAGAAGGTATGATTCTTCTGTTTCCCGAGCCTGCAGGAAGGGAGATTACAATTTCCTATGGCAATATTTAGTGGCATCAGCTCAGAAATACTTCCTTTTCTTTTTCCTCTTCTTTCAGCCACTGAGTTACAGTTTCCAAGGGAAAAGTTTTTTATAGACAGTGATGTTTTACTGTTTTTTCTGTCCTGTGTATTGGCCAACAAATATCCTATAAAAAAATAGATTTTCTAACTAATCATAGCATCAAAATGATCACAAGGAAAACCAATGAGGTGTTTATGCACCTCACTTCTTACAGTGTTTTACTACTGAATGCAGCTATTAATTTGGTGTTCCTCAGATTGTCTTATTAAAATAGATACTGTGAATTAATTTATTAACTCAGTGTACATTTCATGACAACTCTGTAGAAAGCTGGGCATAAAGCTGTTTGGTATCGTATAGGCATAAACTTCTTTTTGATAGACAGTACACACTCTTCAACACCAGAGACACTTCTATTGCCCAGCTTTGGAAGGTCAGCAGGGTCAGTATGAGCATCTGAACAACAGCCTTCCCTATGTCAGCTGTGCAATCACCGAGACTGGAAAACAAAGATGGTCCAGGCACCGTGGCCTGGGCATGGTCACCTTCTTGGACAGAAATAGTTTGGCTACTACCCATGTAAATCATATGCAGTGGGATGGAGCTCGAGAGTGAAGAGATTATGGCTGGCTGCAGAAGGTCCTGGAAGTTTGTTAACTGAACACAATCTACCACCCAGGTCTTTGGAGCTCTTACTCACAAATAGGCAGAGGTGAGCAATTTTATGTTATAAACAATGCACAAATAAGGCATGTATAATGTATTGAATTAATAAATGTCAAATCTTTGTACTTGCATTTTTTATTTTAAGTCCTTTAAACACAACTGCAGTGTTTTAAAAATTATTTTTCAATTATTTTAGCCCTTTCTATTAGAATTTGTCATTTTCATTTCAGAAGTGCTCGTGTACTTTCAAACTTTTTTCCTGTTCTGAACACCTTTGTTGTATCTATTTCGCTACCTTTTATAGAATCATTTCCTCTAATATCAACAGCTTTTATATACTATACTACTTGCTGACTGCAGCTCATTTGTTGAAATTTCCAGTATATCTTCTAGAATATACAGATAAATTTAACCTTTTTTTTTTTTTTTTTAATGTGAAGGGATGCTAGCTTATCACAAATTGTCATAAATTCAAAAGTACAATGTGCTGTAGTGGGAAAGTTGAAAGTATCCAATATGTACTCTTCTTTCATCTTTGTGATCATCTCTATTTAGTTCTATTAGCACTTTCTCAGAACAAAAAGTAGTTCATTTAGAAATGATTGGATCATTTGTTTTGTCCTCAATGAAATGATATTCATTCACCCATTGATAGTTCCTTGTTTCCCATCCAGAGCTACCCAAGAAATAACTTTTTCTACTTAGAAAACTCCCTGAAACTCTCAGAATAATGTGAAATAAACAAGTGCAATTAAATATTTCTCAATGCAAAATATTACACATTTTTGTTATCAGAATTTTTAAAAAGGGGAAGAAAGGAACAATTAAGAAATTGTCAGATGATTAAATTACTACAGCCACTTCCTTGGGAAAAAGATATGCTTTTTCAGGTTGTAGCTCTACCCAAGAGTGTCTAATATAGACCAATAATTTTGACATATTTTATTTTGAGGCATATTTTTGCTCTCTTAATTCATTTGCCAGAGTTTTATTTTTTAGAACAGGAAAATTAACTCTGCAGATAAAGAAGACTTCTTCCAACCTCTGGAAGAAAATAGAACAGCTATTTTTTCAAATTGAAAAAAAAATTTAAAAATTAACTTTTGTAAAAATTAGAAGGGGGTAGTGTGTCTTGGTATTCTGTAGGTGAAAGAATAGCTACAGTTGAAGTTTGCTGAATTGTGGTTTAGAGATAGATCATTTTCCCTCCAGCTCTCTCTGATGCTTCTCGGTGAGGAAACCAACTCCCTGTCCAAAGCTGGTTTTCCTATTCTTTACAATGTCATGGTCTAAGTGGTGATTTCTATTTTTGGAAATATGAAATATTTTGTGCAATGTGAGGACTTCAGGTGCAATGGAATTCAGAATGAATGGCATATTATTTGACACTCACAGGAAAGATGTATATAGCAATACCAGCTGGATTGCTATTTTGTTCTGTTTTCCCACATTTTGAACACCTAGAATTTTTCTGCCTGAGATTTTTCAGATGTAGTCATTCCTAGCCTTTTTGGAGTCTGAAACTAGCTTCAGAATTCTGTCATAGCTGTATCCCCTGCTTAAAACTATATTTCTATTGGATTAGACTCCTTTGAAAAGCTTTTGTAGTTCTTACTATTTTCCAGTGGGAAATATTGGAAGATTCAGTTTCTTTGTTATTCAGCAGTATTTTTATTCTTCAGCACCTGGCTTTTAGTTTTCTATTCCAGCATTTTCAGACCTTTACTATATCTACCCATGGCTCCCTTGCGGTTTGGCTTTCATTGATTTTGACATAATTCTGCTTATTCTGTGAGTATCTTGGTGTGTAGGCTCACTACTGCTGAGGATAGGAAATATTTCTCAAAAAGAAGGATGGCAAAAGATGAGTCTACATGTACCTGGCCAATTAAAAGCTGGTCCTAAGACAGCTGTGTAAGGATTATACTTCCTACTTTTACTCTGAAATTGCATCAGTTTCCCAGAACTTTAATAAAACTGCTTTGTGCCTTAGTTGTCTGGAGTTTTTTACAATCCTATGAGGAGTTTGCCTAAACTTATGATGTTCCCAGTAGCTGCTGGATGTCACATTTCCCATTGCCTGCCTATTTGCATCTTGCTAGAAGAGCAATACTGGTGTATCTCATCTAAGAGAAAGTCTCTTTAGCATAGGCACAATAAGGGAGCATGGATGTGACTATCTGACCCCACAGACACCCCATGTATTGGTTTTGCACAGTCTGGCTTTTTGGCAGCAGTGGGGGCCACAGTGGTGGCTTCTGTGAGAAGCTGCCAGAAGCTTCCACCATGTCCAGGAGAGCCAATCCCTTATGGCTCTGACGACGGACACGCCGCTGGCCAAGGCTGGCCAATCAGAGATGATGGCAACACCTCTGTGATAACACAGGTAAGAAATCATAACAAACACTGCACAGGGAAGAGCAGGAGTGAGAATATAGAAACAGAACAACATGCAGACACCAAGGTCAGTGCAGAAGGAGAGGCAAGAGGTGCTCTCAGTGCCAGAGCCGAGATTCCTCAGCAGGCCATGGTGATGAACATGATGAAGCAGCTGTGCCCCTGTAGCCCATGGAGGTCCACGGTGATGCAGAGATCAACCTGAAGCCTGTGGAAGAGGAGCTCCATGCTGGAGTGGGTGGATGCTTGAGAGGAGGATGTTGAGAGGAGGATGTTATCCCATAAGAGATCTGTGGAGAGAAGGACCCTGCTTCCAAGCTGGATCAGCCAGTCCTTGGAGAGCTGCACTCCATGGAGGAGTGACCCATGCTGCGGCAGTTTTGGGAGGATTATTCCCCATGGGATGGACTCACGATGCAGCAGTTCACCGGGAGCTGTTGCTCATGAGATGGACACATGCTGGAGAAGTTCATGGAAGACTGTCTCCTGTGGGAGGGACCCCACAGCGCAGCAGGGGAACGACTCCTCTTCCTGAGCAGGGGGAGAAGCCTTGAGTAATGAAGTGGCCATAAACCTCGAGTGAGGAACTGGCCATAAACCCCAGTCCCTGCCTCCATGCACTGTTGGGGCAAGAGGTAGAGCTGGGAAGGAGGCGGGGGGAGTGAAGGTGTTTTTTTAAGGGCTTATTTTGTTTCTAATTATCCTGCTATAATTTCTTTAGTAATAAGTTTTTATCTCTCAGTCAAGCTTGTTTTGCCCTTGACAGTATTTACTGAGTGATCTCTCACGGTCCTTACCTCAGCTCGTGAGCCCTTTGCTAAATTTTGTCTCCTCTGCCCAGCTGCAGAGGGGAGTGGGTAAGTGGCTCTCGTGGGTGCCTGGCATTTAGCCAGCATCAACCCACAACACCCCAGTAGGAATATTCTCCTGGTGGTATGTTTTGCAGCATAATTTATGTCAGTTATGCCTCATACAGATGACTGCCTCCAAATCAGAAAGAGTGAAATATTCAAAGGTGGTTTAAACTTTTTATTTCTCATAAACATTAATCTGCCTGTGGCCTTGGAGTGCTCTGGTTACATTTTGGCCAGGTAGCAGGGTCTGTATTCAAGGGAAACAGAGCAAATCTGTGGAGAACTGGATACACTTTTGAAACTCTTTTTCACTGTAGATGAGATTGTTATACAGGAATGAGTAATTTTTAGCTAAGCGTATTAGGTCTCCCAAGTGATTTGCATGTATAATCAAATGAAAAGGCCTGTGAAATATTGAAATTCTAGATGAGAAAAGTGAAATTCTATTAAGAAAGAAAGAACCTCTGCACTTATAGCACATTCAGAGAACATATCAGAATATAAATTTAATGCAATACAGCAATGCTCATCTTACTTTAAAGGTAATTATATAGAAAAAGGGGCATTTAAAATGTATAAGGAGAGGCTTTTTTTGCACTCGTACAGCATATAATTAACAAAGTTCTTTAAACCTATTCATAAAAGAAAGTAATAAAGCACTTGTAAATAATGGCAGTCTCATATTCTTTACAGTTAAATATCAATAATCAGAATGTCTTTTTTATACCTCGTTGTAAAACTACATTTTTGACATATTAAGTAGAAGCAGGTATTACTAGTGACATTTCAATTTTCTAGAGATTTAGACATATTCATATAAAACGGTTACAAAATGAAGAACTATAGCTATAGAAAGCTGGAATGCTTGCAAATTAAATCAATGCTCTGCCTGCAAAACACAAAGCGATAACAGAAAAGTGAAGTTGCAGAACATTTCATGGCAGAATTAAAAGGTGTAGGTGTTGAGACCTTAAAATACTAAACCGTAGGTGCAGAAAAAGAGAACAAGAGAACTATAAAGGAAAGTACCAAAGCTTGTAGTATTGTACAGATCAATTAATAATGATTTGTTTTGTAGCAATTTCTGAATTCTCAGAAGATATACCTTTGAAAAACAAATCCAGATTTCTCCAATGCTCATGTGTTACACAATGTTTTAGACACAAACACTTCTCAGAAATAAGGGGACGGGGAAAATACAGAGAGGTTAAAAACATAAGAAGAAAAAATAATAATGCAAACCAGATTAGATAATGAGTGATTGTGGGTTGATTTTATTTCTCTTTTGTTCTTCCTCACCTCAGTCTTTAAGAGCCTTTATTGCAGAACAGATCGCTGTTCTGGCACATGCCATCTTGAACAGCACGAATGCAGGCTGCTCCCAATAGATTATTCTCTCGTTGACCTTGTAGGGGTGTACAGCTGGCTACAATAAAAGCCCTAATGCAGCAATAAAGACTGGACTAAGTTGAATATTACAGGCATGGAATAAACTCAGATGAAATTAGTTAGGGTAAAATTTTTCTCCTCTGATCTGACTGCACTTAAATTTCAATGTTTAGGAATATCTCAGATTTTTTCCATGTTTACTGCTGTCCATGGCAAGACAGGGTACTTTGCCAGTTTGTAGCAAGAAGTGAGAAAAAAAAATCAATACTTTGCAGAAATTAAGCTCCAGTTGCCATTGCTGCATTTCAGACACTGCACCTTTAGAATCACAGTTTATGTTGCACCTCGCCTTGGATATTCAGGCTTGTTAGTTTTCCACAAAGTAAGTTGAATATCTAAATTCTTATTAAAATGTCGTGGTTTAATTCCAGGTGTCAACCAAGCCCTAGGGAACTCTTGCTCACCCCAACACCAGTGGAATGGGGGAGGGAATAGGAAAAGTGAGAAAACTTGTGGGTTGAGATAAAGATGGTTTTACAGGTAAAGTAAAAGCTGTACATGCGAGCGAAACAAAATGAGGAAGTAAGTCACTGCTTTGCAAATGCAGACAGGTGTTCAGCCATCCCCAGGAAAGCAGGGCTTTCTCATGTGTAACTGTTATCTGGGAACTGAATGTCTCCCCCTTTCTTCTTCTCCCCTCAGCTTTGTATGCTCAGCATGATGTCCTATGGCATGGGCTCTCCCTGTGGCCAGCTGGAGTCAGCTGTGGCCAGTCAGTCTGGCTGTGCCTCCTCTCAATGTCTTGAGCACCCCCAGCCTGCTTACTGGCAGGGTGGAATGAGAAGTAGAAAAGGCCTTGGCTCTGCGTAAGTGCCCCTCAGCTGTAGCAAAAACATCTCTATATTATCAACCCCGTGTTCAGCATAAATCCAAAAATCCCCACAGCAGTGCACCAGCCACTGAGATGAAAATGATCTGTGTTCCATTCAAAACCAGGACTTAGAATGATTAAAAATATTTTAAAACATAATCGCGATTTTATATTAAAAATATAAATGTTTTGCCTGCATGAACTAGATATTCAGTGTCAAAGAATATATTACCATATTTTCCAAAGGCATTGTTTTCTGTTAAAAAGACTACAATTTCTTCCTCATATTTTTAGCTAAAAGATAATTATATCTGAACAGTCTTCAATATTTAAGACACTGTATATATAGAAACAAGATATTGAACAGATAGATAAATCTAGATCTACATATAAATCTAGCTATCTCTCTGTACCTATATACATACACACATGTGTATTAATACTTTTCAGGGTATATTAAAACAAAGTAATTCAAATAAGTAAACAAAAATGTTGCTATCCAGATTTATTTTATGACAAAATAAGCTCTGGTTCTAATATGAGTGTTAACAAGCACTTTTGAAAGGCAAAAGACAAATTCCCTTCACTCTTCCAAATTTTCAGAGGTGGACCAGAGATAGGTTAGATCAGAATCTGTCTTCCAGATACTCCTGTCTGTCTTTCTTGACCATGGAGGAAGACTAGAGTAAGTGTAGCAGCTATGTCCAAATTGTGGGTGGGCACTATGAGATGCCCCAAGGTCTTGGTTTTATACAGACTAGTGGCCTGGCTGGATGTCACTGTGTTTCCCTGCTGCATGCTCACTTTTCCTTGCCAGGCAAATCCAGGGGCGAGGCAAATGTTGGTGAAACCTTGGGGGCCTCCCTGCAACACACAATGTTGGTGCGACCATGCCCGACAGTCTAGACATTTCCCAAATTACTCTGAGGATCTCCACACAGAGACTTAAAATTAGATGGAATCAATCCATCTATAGTCTTTAATCTTTAGTCTTTTAATACAGAAATTAAAGTAATATTTGCTCTTATGCTGAGTTTGTATGGGGTTCTTAGTGTTCTTTCCTGTATGAACCTCAAGATGATTTTCCTTATTGAAGATATCCATCCTAAGATGAGAGATATAACTGTCCGCTGCCTGTATGTGGTTCAAACTCACAATATTGCTCCTTCAGATCACCCAGTGTGCCATTGCCTATGCTGAGAAGGGCGGAAAATAAGCGGTAAGTCAGTAACTGTGGACTGGCAAGAAGTTTAAAGATACATTTTACTGAGGTTTTGGAACTTAAACTTCTGGATCAATGTGGAATCAGCACTAGCAAATCCTTCCCTGTGGCAAAATCTGCTGGTACATCTGATTCCTCTTTTTTCTTCATTTTCTCGCTAGAATGAAGAAAACTGAAACAAATGAACAAATTTAATTTTGATGCCAAAGTAGCATCCCTGCAATGTGGGGAGGATCAGAAAAAGCAGAAATCTGGGCTATAGTGAAGAGATTCAGTCTTCTCTAACACTCAGCTTGATCAGACTTTTGAGCTGAGCTTCCCCTGTACTTGCTAATGATGAAAAACTAAGTCAATAGAAGCCATCTGACTGAAGTGTAACTGCTACATGAATACAAAAAACCATGGAAAGGGAAGTCTTTCAACATAAAAGTAAAAGCATACCTGTGTGGTGAAGTTGTTCTTATTTTTTTGTCACGTTTTTTTTATACAGCTATGAAACATATTTGGAATTGCAGCAATAATCAGTGATTACTCAACAAAGGCGCATACCTATCTCAAAGACATCACTACTACTCTATCAATTCAAGCATGATTGTTAGAGATGGGATTATTGAACTGGTAACCCAACGATTAGTCCTCTTTTCTCCATTCCAATAAGTAATTTATTCATGGGATGGGAATCTTTGTCTGCATTTTGAAATCAAACCTTAAAATGTGAAGCAAACTGCTCATGTTGATATTCATGATTCGGCAATTGAAAGCTGTTTGTTCTTTCAGTCTCCTAAAAGTTGAATTTAATATTTTATTAAATCTGCCATAGTCATTCCCTTTTTTGAACAGTGAACAAACATTAAAGAAAAATGACATAGACAATCTTAGATCCAAAAGCTGAAGGAAGTATATGCACATGTAAAATATGGGGAAAAAAATTAAGACATTTAAATAACAGAAAATTCATCAGTCATTTCTGTCTTATAAAAGAAACATAACTTTTCTTACATTAAGGCTAATTCCCTAGTGTGACTCTGGAAATCTTGTTCTTTTCACTGTACTTGGATATAAAGCTATTTAGGAAATTAACTTACCACTCCACTGTTGTGCAGTATGACAATGTTTCTACAAAAATCATCATTTCAGTAACTTGTTCCAGAAGAAATCCAATGAGCTAAACGTCTTGAGTTACTCATTTTTACCCCTTCAACCACTATGACAAGTGTTTCTTGAACCTTGCTTTAAAGTTCTCTCATCTTTGCAGGGCACCTGGAAGCTTACCAAATTCAGGCTATTTTGAGCTCTGAGTGGGTGGGAGATAGCAAATGAAGATTGGATTATCACGCTTGATGGATTATTGTGATGGTAAGAAAGACTCAGCTAATCACAGCACAACTCTGGCCTGGGCTGTGGTGAAAAGGCAAATGTAGTTTTATCAAAATATTATCAGTGGCAGCATAGAAGTAACTGGGTAAATTATAAGAAGTGATGTACTTAAATACAGGAAAAGGACACCAGCAGGATTAAAGAGATGGAGTAAATGCTGGACACTAATGGATAAAATAAAGTAATACGGAGTGTGTATCAATAAGAAAACTTGGAAATTACTTTTAGTGTGAATAAGTTCACAGAGTGAAGTGAAATATGAGAAGGGAATGGCAAAATTTTGATTAGAAACTGAAGTCAAATTCAATTCAGAAAGGAAAAGATATATTTAATAGGAAGAATGATTCAATCAAATTGTTGCAAGGAGTTGTCTAATTACAAAAGTAATTACCTTAATGCAAATTTACGATTATTGGCCTCTGAGGTATGAAAGAACACATCAAGCTACCCATTGGTCTTCTTTGAAGGTAAACTCTACCAATATACTACAATCTCTGCTGTCCTTTTCAAGTCCCTTATCTGAGAGTTCATGGAAGGCTGATAAAATACAAAATTTATTCTTCTTCTGGTTATTTTTCTAAATGTTTCAGGAATTAAAAACTTCTACCCATAAACATGATAGTTCATATTCAGGCCTCATAATTGGTACTCTGCCAATCAAAGAAACAGAGGTGTTACTGCTTGCTGCCCTTCCCGAGTCAGTAATATCAGGAACACGTCTGCAGTTTTGCTTGCCTTTATGTGAGGAATAAGAGAAAGATATATATATATATATATGAAGTAATATGAAGTACAATAGATTAATACAGGTGACAATTTAATACTAAAAATGCAAATATATATATATATATATATATAGTTAAACTAACTGGAGCTACTATGGAAATCAGTCAGAACTGCAAGTGCAGCATAAAATATGCCTCTATAGAAGACACATAAGATTTTTTAGAATAACAGTGGATAAGGTGGTAATTGCAAAAAGGATACCTGCTTATTGTTAGAAAAACAACAGGCTTATTTTTAGAAGATCTGAAATGAGGGATTAAGTCTAGTACAAGATTTCATATCTTATAGAAGAAGGATGAAGAAGGCAGTGTTTTTTGGGGGAAGGGATGCTGTTGTAGAGGCACGCCAAGAAAGAAGGAAACTGTCTTTCCTTAACAGTTGTAGGCAGAAATTGTACCAGAGCCATGATACTAAGGCTGAATCACTAGAGGATGTGTTTAAAACAGCTTGGTCTATTCAAGTTTAGAAGAGCTGATGAACTGTAGTTTCAGTAGGGAGGAAAAAAAAAAGGATAAAAAAAAGAAGAAAAGCAAAACTATAGCAAGGCTGGGGCAAGAGGGCCATATGCTGACTTTCTGAGTAGCCGTTTGTATGATAGTAAAGGTAAGAAGCTTTAACCACTTATTTTTTGCTACTCTTTTATTACATGTGCATGTGGAAAGAAGGCAGAATGGTATTAAACTGACATCCTGCCCCTACTGCCAGAATGTCTTGTTATGGCTTCAAAGGCTGGATTCACACAGCAGAAGGCACTGTCTGCTTTACTCACTTGCACACTAGTAAGGGCTCTTATACAGCCTGTGGGAAACCTGGGCTCAAATTCCTCTTCTGCTGTTGGAAGAAATGTAAGTATTTTTCATTTCTATGGAAAGAAGAAACTCATTTGCCAGACTGCAGGGTATTTTGAAATGGAGAACTTCTCAGTCTCTTCTGCTAGTTCTTTTTCACTTCACATGTCATACTTAAATGTTCTTTGAGTTAGAACAAAAATAGCTATCTAGTTTCTTGAGCACCTGCCTGGAAGATGGAGAACCTGAGGCTTTTGGTGCTGTTTGACTTAATGATAGACACAAACAGGGTCTGTGTTAACTTGCTCTCACTCCTGCATGTGTGAGCCTTGGTGCTCCTCTCGCCAGAGCTGCTGTTCATGGCTGCACCACTGATGTTCCCAGACGAGGTACTTGTTGATGACACGCAAGGGTGAAACCACTTGATGGCATTAAAACTGCATCTCTGGCCAAAGAAAATTGCTGATAAACTTTGTTTTGCACACGTGGAACACAGTTTGGATTTGCAAGTGCAGCTATGTTTAATAGCTTCCCTTCTCTTGCATGTTCTTGCCTGTTAATTTTTTCTCCAGTCTGATTCCTAATCTCTATACTTGACCAGCAATTATTTTTTGGTGTTAAATTCCATCTGCTTTTGATCCTGTTGGTATTACTATGTCTTCCTCAAAATGACCTGACTTTGTCTCTGTGATTGCTATTTGTAGTACAGATCTGCAGAAAACCAGAAGTCTCTAACATTATCATTGCTATTTTTGATATACAGGCCTCCCATACTGATGGAAAGATCCAGGGGCGATTGCAAAAACAATATATCTGATCTATTGAGGTTTGTTTCACATGTTTTTCTTTAAAGTAGTTACTACTTCCTAGGATATAAAGAAGTTTATTATTAAAAATTTGAACTGACTATACCATTATAATAAACTATTCCTTCTTCATCTTTTATGCAGAAATCAAATTGCAGATCTTTGTCAGAAATGAGTTATCTCAGCAGGGTGCAGAACAATAATTATTCATGCCAGGACTGCGGTGATAGACATTACTCATAACGACTCAAATTAATCATACAGCATATGATTGATGATGAGTACATCAAATTGTGTGGTGTGGACACATGAGGACTGTGGATATTGCTAAACATGTCTTTGATCCAAAATCAGAGGTGACCTTTTGAGGGAGGTCAAATAATCTAACTATTTTTTTAGTCATTAATATGGATCCACATATCAAATAAAGGCAATCAAAGTCTCTTTATTTTCCACTGACAACTTTTAAATCTCTGAAAAAAGAGTCCAGAAACATTATTGCTTTGCCATAGAATATTGCCAGTGAAACGTGTCTGCATGCCAACATAACGTTGTGTGCTTAAGATCTATATGTGGGTCTTAAGATTTTACACGTGATTTCTCCAGTCAAAAGGAAATTTAACAAATAAAGAAACAAATAAAATTAACTTGCCATTTTAGGATTATCTTGGTTAGGTAGAAGAAGGATTTAAATTTTCCCCTTTTGAGACTTTTTTTCCTAGGCACATGTTGTTAGCTGATCATGAAGGGTCAGGTTGATGCCTAGGTTTATCTCTCCTCACTGAAGTACTATGTCTCCACATCATCTCCATAGATTTTGGGTTTGCTACAGGATGGAGAATAAAGGCTTTTCACTTAGAATTCCTTTCTTCTTCATGTCCTCTGCACACATGAGGAGGGTGTGAAAATAATCTTGGCTCTCACTCCTCAACATGGCAGTGAGCTGAGCTGAGCTGGCAGGGGTGGTAAATAATCTATACTATAGAGCATTTGCAGGTTACTTTCTTTCTGGAGCAAGTAGGCAGTGGAGGCTGAGAAAGGGGTTGGAACTCTCTGAGTCACAATTTCTTTCCCAGCTTGCTCTGGAGGTGCTATAACTACTTGCTGTCCCAGACATGGGCAATTGAACACAGGCTCAATTTGGCCCTCAATAAAGAAGAAATCATGAGTCTGAGAAAAATTGTTCCATTTCATGAACCAATTTTCTTATGAGAAGACACAGCATATCCACAGAATTTCTGCAAACAGCAGAGGAGACAGATGTATATTATCTGTGATAAGAGGAAATGGCTGAATTGCTTATTGCGAAAAAATTAGTTTCCTTGATGACTCATTATTTTAAAAATTGCCTGTCAACTTAATAAGTGGACTTTATTATTATTATCATAGTTTATTTTTTCTATTACAGTAGCACTCAGGGGCTGCAGTCAAAAACTGGGGTTTCATTGTGCTAACCACCATGTACAAATAAAATCTCTGATGGTCCATGCCCTAGGAAGCTTACTATTTTGAATCCCCAAATTGCAAAATTTTGAGCATATTTTTTATTTCAAGTCTCTGGGTGTGTATTTTTAGCAAATAAACTGTTGACAATTTTTTCCCTGAAAGATTCTTTTCTTTTAAAGCAGATGAAATATCTGGAAAATGTAAAACCAATAAAGAGGATCCAAATTCCTCTTTGTCCTTAGCAGACAATTTCATATTAAAGTGCATTATGAACTCTGATTAAGAAATCTGCACAACTAGTAAAAGTTCTGACATTGAATTCATTAGTTCCAAATCTTCAAGAGATACAGAAATGGATAGGTTCTAAAATAATTAATTTAGATTGTCAAAACACACATGGTCACTATGTGTATATATATATATCCCCCCCCCACACATGCACGCACACATATATATAAGATACATTTGGGAAGTAATAAGTTCATAGAATCCTGGAATGGCTTAGGTTGGAAGGGACCTGAAAAAAATCATCTAATTTTGACCCATATTACAGGGGCAGGGACACCTTCCTCCAGACCAAGTTGCTCAGAGCCCCATCCAACCTGGCCTTGAACACTTCCAGGGCTGGGGCAGCCACACCTTCCCTAGACAACCTTTTCCAGTGCCTCACCACCTCCACAGTAAAGAATTTCCTTTTAATATCTAATCTAAACCTACTCTCTTTCAGTGGAAGCCATTCCCCCTTGTCTTGTCACTCCAGACCCATGAAAAAAGCCTCTTTCTATTTGTCATGGAGGCTCTCTTCAGGTACTGTGAGGCTGCAAATAAGTCACCCCAAAGCCTTCTCTTCTACAGGCTTAACAATCCCAATTCTCTCTACCTTTCCTTGCAGAAGAGTTCTCTATCCCTCTGGCCATCTTGGTGACCTCCTCTGGAGTCACTCCAGCAGCTCCATGTCCTTCCTGTGCTGGCCCCCCAGAGCTGATGCAGCCCTGCAGGTGGCTCTCAGCAGAGCAGAGCAGAGGGGCAGAATCCCCTCCCTGGCCCTGCTGCCCACGCTGCTTTGGATGCAGCCCAGGACACGTTTGGCTCTCTGGGCTGGGAGTGCCCGTGGCTGGCTCATGTCCAGCCTCTACCCACAGCACCCCCAAGTCCTTCTGGGCAGGGCTGCTCTGGTCTGTCCATCCCCAGCCTGTGCTGGTACTGGGGGTTGCCCTGACCTAGGTGGACCACCCACATCTGATCTTGTTAAACCTCAGGAGGTTCCCATGGGCACACTCCTGGAGCTTGTCCAGGTACCTCTGGATGGCATCCCATCCTTCAGGTTTGTCAACCATGCTGCTCAACTTAGTGTCACCTGCAAACTTGCTGAGGGTGCACTCAATCCCTCGATGTCATTTATGAAGATATTGAATAACACAGGTCCCAGTAGAGATCCCTAAGGCACACCAGTTTTCACTGATGTTCCTTGGTACTCTGAATCATTGGCCATTATCCTCTAGAAGTGGCCATTCAACCAATTCCTTATCCATCTATCAGTTCATCCATCTAATCTCTCTTTCTTAACAAATATTTTTTTTTAGCACTATCATATTAAAAATATAGCATTAATGAAGGCACTCTGGCATCAATAGAGAAATTATTTACCAACCATTAGATATAGGAAAAAAACCCCATATATTTTAACAGATGCTGAATAATAATCAAATCATTAGGTATTGTGTCATGATGGCTTTACAGCTTTACCTGTATTTTTAGTAGTAACTGTATCTCCATAACTCCTACTTTCATATCTTGTCCATTATTTTTTTCCTACTTAATTTGGCAACTCTAATTGATGATAATTTCAGAGTCACTGTAACTTCTTAAAGTAATTCATATCACATTCACCTAGCAGTATGAGCTGCCCACTCCTTGTATTTCAATGAAGCTTTTCAAAGAGAACATTTTGTTAGGACTTTATTCACCACTTAATTTAGCGTGCTTAAAAATCATCTTGATAGTCTATAGAAATAATGATACACCAGTGTTAAAACAGTGTATTGGCAGAAATGGAACCTCAGTTATGTGACACAGGCCTGAATTTAACATTTTCCTTTTATATTAGTCAAATTTGATGTTGGGTATTCTATTTCTTAAAAATGTAGAATTCAAAATCACAGAGGCAGAAGTTATTCTGTAGTTTCTCTTGGAATGTAAAAGTGTGATGTTTTTAAATCAAAATTTAAGAGCTGCTTTTACATCTACTTTATGTTCCTGTATAGCAGGCTATCAAAGCTTGCTTTGTGGCATTTCCTATGTACAAATGAGGAAAAACTCCTAAGACTGGTGATTTATATTTTTTTAGACTTTAACTGAACTTTTAATTAGCATTCCAACTCTAGAGTATAATTTTGTCTTGGTTCTTCTTAAAGGCTATTGCTTCTTCCAGTCAATTACACATTTTTTTCAATTAGCTTTTCTTAGTGAAGTACCATTTCCTTATAAAATTAACTGCCCTGTCCCATAAAATGCTTTGCAATACAACACGCTGTGCACCACTGACCTGCCCAAGGTATTGCCACAGACCTGATGCAAAGGTGAGAATGGAACCTTACAGCTTTATAAGGATTTCATAGCAGCCTCTTAAATGCCTGGACATTTTCTTTAGTGTAACTTTTTAATAAGCAGGGGAAAGAAAATGCTCATGAATCAGTTCAGAAACCAAGAATTAGTTCTGGTCCATAGTGAGTAGTGTGGCTCCAGTGTGCAGTAGCTGCATATTTTGCTGCTATATTAAAACATCAAGTTTGGTGAATGTGTTTATTCCTTGGTGTCTGAAGGGCAACCATATAATTCTGGTATACATATTAGAAAATTGTTTTCCAGGATTTTTTCCAGTAAAAGTTATCCCCACTTCCAAGTATTTCTGACTGTCTTTTTATCTGTACTTCTCAATTAGTTTTGAAGGATGTCATTGTGTACCCTCAGCCTGGGAAGTGAAGTAATCAGGTAATATTCAGAATCACTGGGCTGTGTAATCTGATTATGAATGTTTACTTTGTGATTCTGCCATAGAGGAGAATCAAAGCCATGGGAAGGACACACAGAGAAAAATACAAAAACAAGCTCTCAGAAGTTTATTCTTCTGAAATGCACATTCTTAACTCAAGCCAAACTTGTAGAAACAGAGATTAATGACAAAAAACCTTTTGTGCTTTACAGTAAAGCTTATCTTTTAGAGAACATAGCAGATCAGGTAAGTAATTCTTCTGTCTTTATATTTTCTGCTCAAGCTTGCTCAAAACTATTGTATGAAATGTGAAGCTAATGAATGTGAAGCTATGAAATGTGAATGGGAATAAATCAAAGTATTTGGAAGAAATTTTGGTCAAATCTTTTGGGGAGGCAGCTACTAGCCAAGCAATCAGTTCTATGAAACACTGATATTGCCTGAATGCTGTACAGCAGTAGCAGAAGAATGTTAGATTGTTTGTGCTCACAGTGGTTTTGTACGAGAGAAAGACTAGGGATAAACTGGAAAAGAGTTAAAATGATGGCAATGAGACAAATCTAAGGACCTCATAAAAGCCGTAGTCTAGATAAGGATTGGATAGAGATGAAGAGTTGGAGAAGAATATGGAAGTCTGGTGGAAAAAAGCTTCCTCAGAAATATGATCTCCTCAAGTTATTCTGAAGATTAACCTGCATTTATGACAATAGTATATCTACTGGGAGGTCATTTCAGATGCTAAAAATACCTTGAAATCAGTAAATCTTTTTAATAAAAAACTGTGTGTGTTTGAATAATGCCAAGAAAACTAGATTGAGGAGAAACTATTAAGTTTTTTTTATAGGGTATGAATTCCCATATCTACAGATACCAGTGATGATTCAGTTACCCTCTTACACGAAAACAATTTACAAAGTTCTATTTTTGTCCACAGAACCTGACGGTGTTTTTATAGGGTGGCTATGATTCAAGAGAGAATGCATCTTGCTATCAGCAAGTGAAGGCAAAGTGGGTGGGAGAGAGGAGGGAAGGGGAAGAGCTGTCATTCATTCCTTTATTCACTGAGTATAACACAGGGCAAGAAAGAAGCAAGAAGGAACCATGGTTCTGTGATATGAGTGCAAATCCAGTAACTTCTGGAGCTCTTCCTGGTATGCTGCAAAATGCACTAAGATTTTTCCAAATTTGCCAGTCTGACCTTATCCCACAGCTCACAATATCCATACCAAGGATACATACCATGCACTACTGAGTGCCCTGGTTATAGTTCCTGGCTAATTACATGATCCAAAAGTGACAGAGAAGCTTTGTGTTACCTGAAATTTCCAATATATTAGAATAAAAACGTGCAACATCAGTTGTGACTCATGCTTAACTGGTTTAGGTTGCATTGAAATCCCTCATGATAAATACCCTGCAACCTTCAAGGATTGGATCAAGCCAAGTTGCCAGGCAAGTCTAAATGCAATTTGTATTTCTCTAGTTATTGCAATAAAAGTCTTACAGTCATGTCCTTCCATTAAAGTCCTAATGACTGACACAAGACTGCCTTTTCTCCTTGGGAAGAGATAGTACAGCTGAATAGAGCTGAGACTTCCTTTGTTGAAATCACTTTAAGCTCTTCTCCTATGCTGGCTAATTTCTTAATGCCTGCAAGTTTCATTTTCTCATGGAGGCCTCATAATAATATGTTTTTATTTATTTGTTACTTTTATTTTTCTGCAGGTACATGCCAGCTCAGGAAGAGAGGTTTTCAGTGAGCAGTAATCTTTCCCCTTTGGTAGTCTGAGGTTTTCATTGCTGACTTCTTGCCTTTACCAATCACTACTTTTCTCTCCACTTTTATGAACTGTCTTGAATTCTATTAAATATAACACATTAGAATATCCTGAACGTAACATTTGATTAAGGGGTGCTGTTTAGATAATTACCTTTTACAAATTATTCAGGAACGCAGAACAAAGACAACGACAAAAAACCAAGGGAATTGTCCTTTGGAATAAGTTTTAACATTTTGAACTGTTTTAACATTTATTGGACAAGTGTACATATTTGAGTTGATTTGAGCCTGGATTTTTTTGGTTATTTTACAGCAGCGTCAGTAAAAGAAAGTCATTGGTATAAAGAGGCTGAATCACCAGAGAAGGTGTGAGTGCCTGGACATGTATTAAAATTTTGAATAGACATGTCAGAAAAAAAAAAAAAATCTGTCATGCATGTCTAGCATTAGGTGGAAGTAAAATAGGTGAAAAAGCAAAATCGCCAGTTTTTAAAAAGCAAGAATAAATAGGAGAATATGGGAATCTCATGGGTTTTAACAAGACCAAGTGCTGGTGCTGCACCTGGGTTGGGCAAACCCCCAGTACCAGTACCCCATGGGGATGGACAGACCAGAGCAGCCCTGCCCAGAAGGACTTGGGGCTGCTGTGGGTAGAGGCTGGACATGACCCAGCCATGGGCACTCCCAGCCCAGAGAGCCAAACGTGTCCTGGGCTGCATCCAAAGCAACGTGGGCAGCAGGGCCAGGGAGGGGATTCTGCCCCTCTGCTCTGCTCTGCTGAGAGCCACCTGCAGGGCTGCATCAGCTCTGGGGGGCCAGCACAGGAAGGACATGGAGCTGCTGGAGTGACTCCAGAGGAGGTCACCAAGATGGCCAGAGGGATAGAGAACTCTTCTGCAAGGAAAGGTAGAGAGAATTGGGATTGTTAAGCCTGCAGAAGAGAAGGCTTTGGGGTGACTTATTTGCAGCCTCACAGTACCTGAAGAGAGCCTCCATGACAAACAGAAAGAGGCTTTTTTCATGGGTCTGGAGTGACAAGACAAGGGGGAATGGCTTCCACTGAAAGAGAGTAGGTTTAGATTAGATATTAGGAGGAAATTCTTTACTGTGGAGGTGGTGAGGCACTGGAAAAGGTTGTCTAGGGAAGGTGTGGCTGCCCCAGCCCTGGAAGTGTTCAAGGCCAGGTTGGATGGGGCTCTGAGCAACTTGGTCTGGAGGAAGGTGTCCCTGCCCCTGTAATACGGGTCAAAATCAGGTCCCTTCCAACCTAAATAATTGTATGATTCTATGCTCTGATTCTCATTAATAATGTAGGAATAAAATAACCTAAACCCCTATGTTTTTACCAGAAATTCTAAGATTTTCTTAACACTATATACACAGCTGACTTATTAATCTTGATTGCTTTATAAAAAGCCCAAATAATTTTCCATTAGTAGATTTCCATTATTTTTCTATTATTAGATCTCAAGATCTCTGCAGATATTTGTATGCCTAGGTTTTCTCACCACACTTGTTTAATGTGAGATATTGGCGGTTTCCTTTTTTAAACACTGGTTTCTATTATCAAAGATGGATTGATTTTAAATTCACACTTGGATTTTTATCTCCTTTGAATGATATAAACTGTTGAATGATATAAGGTATTTTTTAACTCTAGATGATTTTTCTGTATCAGATTCTCTGGGTTTTTTTATCTTCATTTATCACTGGAAGCAGTGATGCCATCTCTTTCTTTTAGAATGGCAAAAATTTATGTATTCAATTTTCTCTCTTTGCTGTGTACATACATTGATGTTTGTATAATGTATATTTTTACATTTAAATAACACTGGTAATGGTGCTTTAATTTTCTCTAACTCTGATGTTGTTAATTTGGACTCACATTTCAGATCAGAAACCCGATTTGAACATGAGGGCTGCAACTTCATTTGTAACCAAAGGTAACTGCAACTGTTTTTTTTTTATATAAGACGTGCCAAGAGCAGGAATAAAGACTTCATAACTTCTTATGGGTTAAGAAATGGAGTTCACTGGGGAAAAATTAAATAGGCAGACAACAATAGACAAGTTATAGTGAGGCTTATTTTCTGTTATTTTGCTAAAATCTCCACAGGATTCTTACCACTGTCCTCTGAATTGGGTGATTTTCTTGGCACTTAGATACCTTGTTCTCCTACTAGCATTTTCATTCTCTCAGGTGTAGCCACTGATGTTGTGAAACATCTTTAGTAGGCAATCTTCTTTGAATATTCTGCCTCCTTTACTCTTATCTGACCTTGTGCTTAGTATTTTTTCTTTATCAGAGAATGAACACTAGTTCAATAGTTGAAGTCTATAATCTCATATCAGCTTTAACTCGATGCTTTTGTTTCCTCACATCCCATCTATTGCTACCACTGTCAGTTATCTCAAAATTAATTTTACTTTCCTAGTTAGAAGTGCCAAGTTAAACTGAAGTGCTATAGTACATACCCTGCATTCCTTTGACTAATTTATTTCAATTGTTAAAGTTTAGTTTTCTAAACTTGTTATTACAGAATCAGTTTCAAGGAGCTCAGCAACTGATGGTTCCCTGTCCCACAATACTGGGATTAAAATATTGTTTCCACTGCAGCCCAGCAAAATGCCCAGTTTCATTGATATATGTTGTGATATATTCCCTCCCTTCTGCTCATCTGCCTTTCTAGTTTTACAATTTTTCTTATTTTTTAAAAATATCTATAGCACAACCAACTGCAATTAGATCTTTACCCTCCAAGTGACTCAAACCTTCTGTCATGCAGCTTGCCTGTTGATATAACATCTGCTATACAGAACGGTTACATCCTATATTTAGTTGGTTTAAACCACTATGACATGGAAATCTCTTCATTTCAACTCCAGCAAGCTGGGGAGTCAAATTCCATTTCTGTGGATGAGTAACAGGCAACTTCCTTATATGCTTCCTGTTAAAGAATTTCTGGTCATCTGGGATAAATCTCAAGTTCTTGAAAATTTTGAGCAAAGCTGAGACTAAGGTTTGCTTTAGGACCATTTAAACTGAGTCTCAGTTAGGGTGATAATTTCATTTCTGTGATACTTTGATTCCAAGATCACAAATGCTGATGAAAAAACGAATGCACTTATCCCTGCCATCTTACTGTCTGTGCCAAGAATTTCTGCATGAAACAAAGAGATACCTCCCTAGAATTGCAACTAACTGCCTCCAGCATCTAGAACAACATAACAACATCAGATCATGGTCTACCATCTGCTTTTTCTCTCAGACTGGACTAATGAGCTCATCAGCTCATGGTGCGTCTGGACTTGCTGAAACTCTAGCTGAGACTTGCTCAATTTGAACCTCACCTTCTATTCTGAAGAAAGGGTTGATTTGAACTGCAGGGTCCCAAGTCAAATAGCATGTGCATAATTTTTTTTTTTTAAATATTTTACTTGTTTTGAAGTTATACCTTACCTTAATCTTTTGAGTATATAACTTTCTTCTTTCTCAAAGATAGCTCTTTGCTTTCAGCTTGATTTTATTTTTAATTTATAAATAGCAAAGACCAAAACCGTAAGATGCTCTTGTGCAAGAATTAGTTCTAAAATCAGATTGAAGAGAAAGCAAAAGGAAGAAGATATAGTGACAGAGAACTTTTAGTTTAAAATCTTCCACTTCTTGTGTTTTACAAGATTTCTTATTTCTTTCATTGACTTGTGGGCACATAATACACAAAATCACTTGTGCCAATGATTAGAATTCAGATTGCAGAAAAGAGAACAAATATCCACCCTCATTTGTTCAACACTGCTACTGCTCACACAGACAGGGTCAGTTTTGGGAGCCAAGTTAAAAAGCCCTTATTGTGGTTTCAAGAAAACACTGGGTAATGGAGCCACAATGACATTGTTGCTGGTTCTTTGATATCACCCTTTCCCTCCCTCAACAGAAAAAATAGTACCTTTTCATTACAGTTTAAAAATAGAGCTATCTAGTCAGTTGGTGTTACAGACTCCCATGCCATAACATTTAAGATCCGTTAAGTCCTGATACTTTTGCTTAAGTCCATGAGATCCCATTTTTCCTGTGCTGGAATTTCGCTTATTCCTACTAATTTTATGCTGACATTATTTAAAGTTGTACTACTGATTATTTATTACACCATTACAAAGATAAGAATTAGGTTTCAGAGAGATTTTTCATCTCTTCTTAGAACAGAACTAACAAACAGTAGCCATAATTTTGATTAATTCAATAAAATATGCAAGATCTTCATTAGCTGGTGCAAGTCCTTTGGAGTAAATAAAAGTAAATTGTAATGTCAACTGGTCTAGCTCCATTTCCAGCAATAGACTTATCCTTGTTTATAGCAGTTGAGAATTTAGCTTACTGTTCTGGCACAAACAAACGTTATTATTTTGTACCACTTTTATTTTTAGGTTGTTGTTGAATCTCTTGTAGGTTGCTCAGAAGTTTCTACCTATTTAATCTATCTGCTTTGCTTGCTGTGAGTCTGTTCCTCAAAAAATGTCTAAGGCAGGGCAGCAGCCCACACATAAGCACAAGCGAGACAGAAGGAGAAGGAGTGAAAACAAGAAGTCAGTGGAGCATTGCCAAGTTTCACTAGTTGAGGATCTGCTCTGAAACATTTTCAGTGCTTCTTTCAGTGTTGCTGATTCTGGTATGTAGCTTGAGTCTTTGGTTTGAGTCCCTTGGGAAATACACTAGCAATAAGAATAGAAAAGCAATTTAGGTGGCATCTTTGTGATCATCATTGCTGTCAATCAACCTAGGGCTTGGCATTAACATATGCTCTTCAGAGAAAAAACTAATCTACTCCATTTGGTAACAATTAGAAACATTAATATGACAGAAACGAGACTGAAAACCTGAACTTTTTTTTTTTTTTTTTTTTTTTTGGAAGCCTGTAGAATGATAGGAAAATATTTTTAAAATACAGTTTTCATTTTCAGCTTCCAGGAGTAATACTAATGCTGGTGACATGGTCTATGTTGCATTATATAAAGAAAATCTGATTTCCAGATTAGATTTACAGTTTTTAGAGCTGTTTTATTTTAAATTTTAAGCTAATGTAGTAAGAGAAAAGAAGCTGAAATAAAAATAAAACAAAATATACCTATACTTTAGTTTTCAGTTCACTGTTTCTACACATTTTCAAGTTTTGACTCCCTTCATCCAGAGTCAGAATGAGAAAATTTCTCTAAATCTCAATTTTCTTCCATAAATGGAAAAAATATTTGCTATCTTGTTCTAAGTAGTCCCTTTATAATTTTTAATGCTGAAAACCAATATCTATTGTCAAATTGCCTAAAACCAGAAATTGTAGACATGAAAATGAAAAATAATTTATTTTATAATTTTTTCTCTGATTATATATGTATATATCTTCAGTTCAGACACTGATCTATCTGCATTTTAAACATTCTTAAAAACATTATTTCTTTCAGATCACACATGCACTGAACAATGGTGTGTGTTATGACATAGATGACTCAACTCAACCATATAAAACAAGCATATTCAATTGCTTCACTAATAAGAAAACTGCAAGAAAGCCAGTTCTGAGGTTAACTGATTTTCTCTTTTAGTCAGAGATTCTCCAGAAACCTCACGCCATGAAAAAAGAAAGGAAGATAATCAGAATCATTATTCAGTATATATTTTGAAATACATGTGTTTATTTTCTTTACAGAACATGAATATTAAAAAAAATAAGTGCAGAAGACAGTTAATAAAAAGAGTGACTGTTTCATTATCCCTTTCAATAGTTTCACACTTGGATGAAAATGATTGAGATAGCTTATACTTTAAGTGTACTTTTTCTTATTAAAACTTAGAAGAAAAAACGTCCTATGGCTATAGAACTGATCAGAATGAAATAATTTGAAATTCTATGCTGAAAAACAAACATTTCACCCAAACTCAAAAGTTGCCATCACTTTATCCATCTTTAGGTTTTAGGTAATTGTAAGTAGATCCTTAGAGGAACAAACAAAGACATAAATAATCCAATCTCTAGAAATTCTATTTTTACTTGGAGCTGGTAATCAACAGAACAAATTATTGAGAGAGCGCACCACAATCTACAATCTTGCAAGGAAGACAGTGTACTTCTTTGGAAGATACGCTGTAAGTAGAGAGAAATATGAGAAGCATGCTGGGATCTGCTCTGCAGGAAATCCAACAGGACAGTCAAAGCAGTCTCTTCTGAGTTTAATTCTGAGAAACTGCGAGTCACACTTTATTCCCCTCAATCGACAATTCTTGTATCTCACAGTTAGAGACTTTTGTGTTGTACTATTTCCATGGCAGAATAAAATTGAAAGTGTGGCATGACACGTACTAAACAGAATGTGTTAAGATGTCTGTCTTAGTTACCCAGAAAAAAAATCTGGAGTAACTCGAGAATTTGGCTCATTGATTCAAGACTTTACACTTACCAAAATGTAAGGCAAGTGTAACAGAAGAAGTATCAAAGTCACTTGGAGTTAATCTGTTTTAGGTAAACTGATACAATGTTGTTAAATCGTGTTTATAAAAGCCCACAAAGGGCTTAAGAGAATTGGTAAAGAGAACTCAAAAACATACACTGTGTTTTTTTTTTTTAATGAGTCACAAGAAGAGCTGTCCTTTCTAAATATTCTTTTACTTCCAACTGCCTAGCCTAGTGCCTACTGACGTGATGCAGAGACTTGGCAGAGAATAAATATTTTTTAAAACTTACTCATTAACACCTTGGGCCCATCCATCAGAATGATTGACATCAAGAGACAATGCAATTTTTTTTTTTTTTAATAGGACACAACATGTACAAAGGCTTTCTGTGGGCTAATGAGGCACACCTGACAGATGTGTGAGTCATTTGACACAATGGGTGGTATTCATGAACACCATCACCTTGCAATCAACTCAGGATAACATTCCTCCTTATTTTTTTGAATCCCCTTTTCTTTAAAATAAAAGGAATTTAGGAATAACTGCACAGGATTCAAAGCAAAGTCATTTATATGCTCCATCCCTGAGATGCTACTAATAATGATGTTCATGACATTATCTGAAATTTCATTAGGAAAATAATAAGAACTTCCTGAACTGTGTCTAAGAGATAGACTTCATGTGTTCCATGCCATGCACTTTATATTATTGCACCAAATGAATCCAGTAAAGACTAATTGGCATGAGTGAGTAACATAGCAGTGCAATAAAGATAACTTGTCACCTTTTGCTCATCTGCTCAATGTTGTCTCTAAAGGGTAATAGGTTTCATTATAGCCTGATGTATTTCAGGGAGATTCAGCAGGCAAATTATGCAAAAGTAGAGAATCACAGTGGGTTTTAGAGTAGCATTACCTTTACAAAAGAGGAAAACCAACAAAATGCCCGAAAGAAGGTACATCCTGAAAAAAAGGTCTATTAAATAGGCACTATGACTCTGGAAGCTTTCAGAAATTTAATCTGTCTTTTAAGTGATCTGGCAGTCTTTTGCCAAATATTTCAGAAGATTCCTCTGCCTATCTATAGTAACAAGGTTGGCTGTATTCTGTGACTTACCCTGTGAACTCAGGCCATGCAAGTCAGCCTGATCCATATTCATCATGTGTGTCAAGCCCTGCTTCTCATCCTTCATCATGTACTTTCTGTACTTTTTTTGGTGGTGCTTGTAGCTCTACAAAATGAATCTTGATCCAAACAGTGGTATGTTTTCTCTTATGCTGTACCTCTGAGATGAAGCAGTTACCTTCTGCACAAGTTACAAACCCATTTCCTCCTAATGACCTAAGCACTAGGCATGGGCAGCCGTAGTTTATTTTGAAGGACTGAGCTCTCTTCTGTCTGTGGGTGATGAAATCCTGGCTGGACAGGATATATGGTTACCCAGACCACTCATTAATATTTGAGGCAATTGAGAGTTGCAAATTAATAGCTTGTAGGAAAGACTGAACACCATAGGACATTGCAAATTATTTAGCTATCATTCTTGCAAAACATTGTAGTGGGGTCTGGTGCCTGCTGTGTTCTCAGAAGACTCTTGAAGTAGAACTGAGATATTGATGAACTGTTTTGCCAATCTACAAAATCAGAAAGCATCCCTGTCGGTGATATGACCCTTACAGTCCAAGAAGTTATGAAAAACAGGGAAGATATTTATTGTCACATAAAAACAGTTAGATAAAACCAGTGCAAGTAGGATGCCAGAAAAAATGGTGTTTTATTTAGCACAGTTTTCTAGCAGTCAGAGCCAAAGGTGCAGAAGAACAGCGACATAGGCAGAAATACAAAATTACTAAAGCAGCAGCGAAAATGGCAGACTATCTCAATGGTTACAGTATCTAAAATTTCATCTTCCCTCTGGGTCTCTTTTCTTTCTCTAAGTCTCCATGTAGGTGCTGAGCAATCCAGTCATGAAATGAAGGGTGACTGCCTAGATCTGTAAGATTTCTCAGCTGTTAAATTTCTAGTTCCAATGCCTATAATATCTGCAGGGTGTAATAGAATTTCAGGAATGTTTGAGGGAAAATTGTTATGCAGAAGTCTTAATACTTATTTTGGTAGCCAGGGAAGATTCAACAAGATAAGAGGCATGTGAACTTTATCCCCAGAGGATCAGCACAGTGGTTCCTGCTAGCTCCCCCACTGAAAGCAGCAGATGAATTTGTTTCTACAAAAATTAGGCCTTCGAACTTCAAACTTGCTTGTTGACATTATAAAAGTACTTAATTATATGGCATCTTCTACTGAAACAGTCTAGCTTTTGCTGTTCCCCCTTACTTCCTGCTATGCCAGAAGGTTTCTCTGTGGCAGTTCCTCCCAGAGTCACAGTGACACTGGGTCTCCCACACTTCTTCTCAGCATTTCAGGCTCAAGTTGTAGTACTCTCTTTTCAGCCCTTATTTGCTGGACAGCTGGTCTCATTTAGATGTCTGTAATGGGAAGTATACACAGTCTATATTATATTTCTATTTCTTGGTGTTTCATAAATGTATGTGCAGGAGGTTTTGGGAAGCCTGGCAATTATCCAAACAAATCAGAGGACATTCTAAATTATGCAGATGATACACCAAAATCTCACCTAGAGATAATCTGAACAATTAGATTCCTTGAAAATAGAAAGGATACAGAAGGAGATAAATGCTATGTCACAACTCATACTGATGCTCCAGAGTGTGGTAAGGTACTGGAGCTGATTCTGTCACATATGTGACAGAGTATCATTCTTCTTGTGTTCGTTTCCAGGGTCCAGTTGTTGTTTGTTGCATAAACTGTTCATATCCACTTCAAAAAATAAACAAGAACAGAGCTTTCAGAGCATTTTAAGAGAAAACAAGGCCTAAAAGCTGAGCATCTGAATTACTGAAGATAACATTTTTGACTTGTCCATATTTCCATCTAGCAAGATGTTACTAATCACGGGGCACTGTCCTGTGTGCTGGGAATGACAGTGGCACTGGTATGAAGAAGATGGTGTTTCTCAGCTTATTTCAAATCACATTGACTACCCTTTTGTTAAAAGCTTCAAAAAGATGTGCGATATTTTTAGAGATTGATGTGTGAGAAAGAACAGAGTAAGAGGGATCAGCTGTGACTGAATTTGGTACAGCTAGAGGTGGAGAAGCTAGGGCTTGGACTTTTTAGAAGTGAAACCAGACCTTTAAAGCCTCATGTTGTTTTTGGCAGACATTCTTCTCCTCCCCATCTTATTTACACTCCCTGCTCACGTCGGCTTCTTTTTGCAGCATGTTATTTGCAGAGCAGAGCTTCTTTACACTTCTTTCTGCCAGCTTCCAGATGATCATGAGCCACAGAACAGTCACCCAGAAACCTGTCACCACTGGAATGGTGCACCAGAATGGAGAATATGGTGTTGGACTGCAAACCCTCTACAACAGGCTGCGGAAGAGGCTGAGTCAGCCCCTTGCTCAAAAGGCCATAATAGCATTCAGTTGCTGATCTGCTTGCCATGTGTGATAGCACATTGCTGCTAAAATGGCATATTGGCCCTAATCCTGAAAATCTTTCAGACATGTATGCATTCAGTGAGATAAAGAACTATAGAGAGAAGCCTATGTTTTCTATAAGAACGTCATATTGGTATAAAAAGGATAGGTGCAGTGATCTCAAATTATTTTGTGGTACAAAAGTATGAGCAAGAATATATAATGTACATAGATATGATTTATGCACACACTCACACACACATACATATATATATATATATATACACACATATATGTATATTACATCTCTGTAACTGAATGGTATTACCATGGGGATGATGAGACCCACAAATAGCATAGTTAACAAATTTAACTTGCTATTTTTGTGTCTTTCATTTTTGAACTGCCAGGGAGTAGATTGCTATATCCTCAAATTTGTCTTTGAAAATCTTCTCAAAATAACTTCCCTGTGAAACTCATTTGACAGGGTTACTTACATGATCACCTCTTTATCAATCCACTGAGAATGAGAGTTAGTTCTAGACTTTAAACTAGCAAGGCTAGTTCTTTAGCTTAGTCTGTAGCAGTTTATGCTCTCAACTCTTGAAATTATTTAGCACTGAGGACACTGTGCAAAACTCTTAGAACTGTAAGAATTTTTATTCTGCATCCGAATGAAAGTGTGACATTAAATTTCAGACAATATATACTTCACACTGCTTAGTATACAGCAGCACATATGGAGAAAGATTGGGAACTTGAGACTCCTTGCAGCTCCATGAGCACACTAACCATACTGTACTGCTCTTGCAGTCTTTGGTGTCAGTGTGAATCAGCAATGCCAGTGATAGACTTATACAACTACAATGTCTGAGCTACATCAATATAAATGAATTGCATATAGGCATGTCTGTCTGCTGTGCACATATCTATATTTTATATATAGCTACATTTGTAGATTTATCAGTGAAAATAATTTCATGTTACCAGTTTAATAGTGTTTTCCTTCAATGAATCCAATGCATAAATACGAATGGTGTGTTGCATGGTATATCTGGCTGTCAAAACTGTTCAATGAAAAAGAGGGAATATTGAAAGTAGAAACTGACTTGAGAAATCATGTTTTTTTTTAGCTCATTAATGCCTTAATACCAGCTGATGCAGTATGTACTTTGCAGGCCATGTTTTCTTTTTTGCAGTTCTGTGGTTTTACAGCTGGTACATTCCAGGCTGTCTGCCTTCCCAGGCTAAGTCAAGTTTGTCCATCTTGTGACACCTTGGTGTATGTACAACACAATACTTGTTCTCTGGGGAATTTAACAAAGCTGTTTCTAAGATAGTAGGTGCTCCTGGTGCTCAGGAGTTAGTAATTTCAAATATGGCCGGTTTAGTTACCAAGAAAATATGGTGGGATGTTGTGAGTAAATTTTTTTTCCACCAGGCAAACTCTTCAATGCTTTATCAAAGCATCCAGATCCTTGTGTGTTGCTCTGTTTTAGAATTTCTTCAAAGACAGACAACCTTTATTCTACTGACCGATGTACAATATATATAGCTATTGTGCAGAAAAAGAACAGCTCTGGCGAGTCACTAAGTAGGTGTTTGTGCAGGTCAATAGTAGGCTGGTACCTCATGAGGAGTGGAAAACCTATCAGCTTACCAATGGAGCTGTCAGTTCAGATAAACAGCTGCCATTTTTCCCACTTTCCATCAGGTGGAGGTTTAACAATGTTTATTGAAGATGCCAAAGGTTTGAGAATACTAAAAGTTTTAATTCTTTTCCACCAACTAATAGTGTGGCTTATGGTGCTGAAGACAAACTTGGAATCATGTGCCCTCACCCAGCTGACCTTGTCTGCATCACTGTTGTTTTAAATCAATTGGTTCTGCACCCCCTCTTCTATCAGAAACTATATTTCCTGAAGTAAACCTGGGTTTAGGCCACCCTCTGTAGCAGAAGGGCTGTAAGGGGGAGTAGTGTAATTACTACAAGCCTCTGTTTTGTCCTGTCACAGTTACATCCACTGGCAGGAACCTGCGACTTCTGAACTCACAAACTATGAAGAAACCTGAGATGACAAAATCAGCAAAGGCTACACCTTAAAGTGCAGTCATGTGGTCCATCAAAACATGCTTCAATCCAATTGAAGTGGCATTATTGTGTTACCCTTATCCTAAAGTAGCTACCTAACATTCAGGTTGTAACTCTACTTGTTCCAGGCCTTGCTGATCCATTTGCAAAATCATAGCCACAAAGTGATTAATTGTTGCTAATAATTCTAATCTTAGCTACTTATTTTTGTGCTTTAAAATAAAAAAAAGCAAAGCTTTTTTCCCTAAGCAGATATTTTTATTAAATAAAATTTAGTTTGAAAACTAAAACAGATGTTGCTTGATCAAAGTTACAATCATCTTTTCTAATTGACTGTAATGTGCATCCCCTTTTCTCTAATATAGAAAAGATATACACAAAGTTCTGCTCCTGAGGAAGAACAGGCAAAGGAAACCTTTTGACCACACAAGCTGGTGGTTTTCATAGGTCACTGTTTTATAACTGAGTATATGTTGGCTGCACATACATGAAACTAAAGATCTTGCACTTCCTTGGAGTGGAAAAGAAAAACACATTCATAAAATTAAAACACGGGTAAAAATAAATAAAAAACCCAGAAAAAAGGAATAGGTTTCATCATAAACAGAGGAACGTGGAGCTTGGTAAGTACATTCTTAGCATTTAAAGTTTCGGAAGATATTTCGCGGGTAAAAGGCGCGTTGGGAGCGGCCCCGCTCGAGCGGCGCTCGCTGCCCGGCCCGCGGGGCGCAGCTGCCACTTCAGCGGCGGCCACGAGATGGCGCTGCGAGCCCTCGCACGGCGCTTCGGCCGCGTGCCGCCGGCACGGCCCGGCCCGGCCCGGCCCCGGCTCTGCGAGCCCTTCCCGCGGCACGCCGAAAATCGGGCACTGAGGAGAGGGAGCACGACTGAAAAATGCGCATCGTTTCCTTTGCCGGGATGTGGCCCCTGGAGGAGAGGGGCACGACGGCGCCGGTTGGGGTCCGGGACGGCCGGCGCGGCGGGGCAGGACCGCAGCGCAGCTCCCGTCGCGGAGCACCAGGGGGAGAGCGCTCCTTCCCCCGCAGAGCTTCCCTTCCTCCACAGTGCTTCCCGCGCTTTGCGGCTACCAGGAGAACGGCGAGCCCCGGCAGCCGTGCCCCACAGGCACCGCTCGAACCGTGCCGACACCTCAGTGCCGGAGCCGGCACTGCGGGCCCGCCTGAGCCCGGCTCGGGGCACCGCGTCCTCGGCAGCTCCTGCCCCGGCCCGGGGGCTCGCCCCGAGCAGCGCCAAATTGCCATTGCCTTTGAGCGAGGGAGCGCCCTGCTGCACCGCGGTCCCCAGCCCGCGCTGACACATCCCCGGTGACAACAGCTTGGTAGCCACCCATGGGGACGAAGGTGCCGAATTCGGTGCCTAAAGCACTGAATTTCCCTGTGTCGGGAAATTTAACCTTCAAGCACCGCTTCGTCGCCTCGTGCGCTTGGATAGATTCTGCCTTTTGTCCGCCGTGTCTGTCGCAGAGCACAGACACCGTTCTGGGCAGAGCATGGCTGCTGTTTATTGTATTTACACAACGCCGGGCACACTTGCTGCTTTCACATTGTTAAAATATTGAGTAATACAGATAAGACCAATGAACAAAACTAAATTGAAATAATTAGGCCTGTGCATTTGCTTTAACAGTGGCTGTTGAGTAATTGCGTTCCTTGAAAGTGAAACTCATGGAACACAAATTTAGTAATTTTATTTGGCCATTGCAGCTCTTTTTAAAAAGGACTGTGTATACAATCAAGCTGTTTATCCATCCTCAGGAAATGTGATGAGTGCTTATATAATGTTTCAGTACTTGAGTTCAGAGGGAGAAATGTTTCAATGAAGGTCAATGTACTGGTGTAAATGAAAGTCATGTCAAGGATGAATGTAGAGAAACCCAGTTTTTATTATGAAATCCCCTTCTCTTCCCTCATACCTCTAGATTCAAGATTTTTTAGATGTGTCTTTCCAAAATTAAGAGATTAAGATGGTTGTCTGTGGAGCTGCTTGGAAAATAAACCCATCATTTTTTATCATGGGAGCCTTTTCAGTGAAAACAATAAAGTGAAATCTGGATGAGAAATTTTGTTCTTTTCTGGCTAAGCAGTCTGTATGAATTTTGAGAAACAATGCTTGAAAAAAGGCATTGCACTTACATGTATTGACTCTGATATTGTTTTCCTCAGGGGTTCTAGAGGTATTTGAATTAAGAATTATCCATCCTAATTCATTTCCTTTAGAGCCAAATAATTTATTCTGAATAATCATTCTTGTCCTGAATGTATATGTATATGCCTACTCCTACATATCCACACGTGTAGTTTTCACAATCTTCCTAGCAGAAGAGGCTAAAGAACTTAAGCACACATGTGCGAGTAGGAGGCATCAATTATTAGATGAAGCAGTTGAGTTCAGAGTACAAGTAATTGTATAGAAACATCCATTTTTATGAGTTTGATGACACACTGAGCCTGACTAGTGAAAAACATTTTAAAGTAATTTATTTTCTCTCTTTGCACGATAAATATTTATTTCAAGGCTCTGCCTATAGTGGGAGGCCTGTACTACCTCGGGTCTACCACTGATGAGGAGACTGGCTGTTAGTTGTTGTTGAGCTGGCAACAGAACACAGGAGACTTGGTAGAGCTGAATTAATTTCACCACATTTATAAAATTCTAATTTTTGAATGTGCTTTTTTTTTTTTTTTTTTTTTTTTTTTTTTTTTGAGTGCATGTGCATTATAGAAAACTCATGGAAGTAGGGAAACATTTTGGAAGGAAATCAAAACTATGCCACAGCAGTAAAAATTATATTTGTTACAAATATTAGAATAATATTTAATAATCATATGTAATCTGTGATTGCTGGAACAAGAATTCCTGAATTCAGCAGCCACAAATTCTAAAGACTTGAGTTATGCCCTGGCTTGTGGGATGGAGACAAATGATCCCCAAGGATCCCCAAGGTCTACAAGTGGTAATTTGCAGGGGTGTCCAGGGTGTCCTGCTTTCTGATGCCCCAGAGATGGGGTTATCAACAATCAGATTCCCATCAGGCTTGTGAAAAAGTGGTATCTGTTGAGTTGATAGAATGCTAATGTGAAAAGCTTTTTGTTCAGATCCCATGTGTGATCAGTCTTGGGCATTGCTGTTCAGATTCTCATTCTCTCTTCATTCCCCTTCAGATTCTTTTGGGTGCCCTGGAGCATGGCAGGGAACAGGGCTCCTAGTATGAGGTGAGTGCATCAGAATAGTCACCTCTCTTGCCTCAGGCCCTGCAGCAGGAGCAGGAGCTGCAGCTGGATGGCCTCCCTTACATCTCTTTTGATGTGGTAGGGTTCCACGACAGAGCCAGTTGCCAGCTTAACCAAACCCAAAAGAAGTATAAATGTCGGCCTAGTCACTTAGTGAGAAACTTCATCTGCTGTTAATATTATTTCAGGCTTCAATAGTGAAGATCAAACCTTTGTGTTACAACTGAAATTTTATTTACTCAATCACTAGTTTTCATAGAGTTAATATAAAAATCACTGTTTCAATAAAGAAGTCTTTTCTGGGTTTCTACTTAACTACTAATCTTCAGCAGCACTGCAATGTCTGACAGGGGGAGTGTTTGATGTTAATTATAGTTTGATGAGTGCATAATCATGTAAAATTTTTCTTTTATGCACAGTCTCCTCTGTGAGTTTATGTTTTTGAAATATGAACCTAAGCAAGAAAGAAAATAAACCTTTACAATCTTCAGAGTTATAATCTGATTGTCACAGAACAAAGTACCTTGTCATTTCCCACTACATGGCTCTTCCATATAACTCTACTTTTTCAGCATTTACTTTGTTATACTTGATTGAGTATATTACTACAAAGTGTTATTTATCCAGCCTAACATTTGTTCCAAGAAGAAAAGGTAAATATTATGGGCTAAACTCCATTTTAGATTCTTATAAACATAGCTCTCAGAAATGTAAGCCTGAACTCAAACAATTGTGACATCAGTGGTCTCTGAAGCAAAACAGAAATGGATTCTGGATCCAGCAAGAGGAGTAAAGTTGGGCTTCTATCCTTAGAGTTTCTATCCTTACTAAGATGCCACTTAAAACATCCAGATCTGGAGGAAATGTAATGAACTGAATTTGCTTCCTCAGCTGGAATAGTTTTGGCACGTATATCTGAAGACCTGTTTAGCTGTGAGGGAGCTACCAATGGTTGAGATTATGCCCATCTGTCAGTTAAATCAAAGATCCCAAGGCTAAATGCAGCATTCAGAGGCAGCACGTAGGCCCATGAATTTTATGGAAGACAGTGTCTAGACACCAATAAGCCGCTCTCTTGCATCCACATGCTGTAAAACTCTATGCAATTGTTCTCATTTTAGTAACAGCTTTCAGGAAATTACTGTTAGGAATATGGAAGAAACATTTTATGCCAGTGACCTTAAAATTGTAGTACAGGGATTTAATTTTGTTTTCCAGTTATTTATGTCATGAAAGTAAAGAATATCTATTTTAAGTTAAAATAATGCAATATATAGGAGAAAAGATGCTTTTCCTTATAAAAATATTGATTTGCAAAAACTGTGGACATGCTGTTCTTTTTAAAATATGCAGGTCTTAATGCTTATTTTTATAATGTTTTGACTCTTTGTGCATTTTCTGACTTCAAATGTTTTAACAGGATAACATGGTAGAAACAAGAACTATCTACACGTGTCTGTGTATGTGCCATTCAGCCAGTATGTGCATAATTTTTTTCTAACGACATGATTTTATTCTCAAAATTGTAAATTATTACAGAGAAATCATAAGCCTGCAAGTAATTTACAGCCATCTCATTTCTGGCTTGTACATTCCTAAACAATTTTTTCTGGCACAGATGGTAACATCATAACTTCAGATTGCATTGCCATCCATTGCTGTGGCTGTTCCTGGGTGTGGGAAGAGGTGATGATTAGCTAAGACAAAACTTGCTGTTCACAACATCTTGAAATTTTGTTTTTATTGATGATAAAAATGGCTTTCAAATAAACTGAAGATTTTAATGGGAAATTGCCTGTCTTTGTCAAGGTTTTATTTTTTTCTTTTAAGTCAACTGTACATGCAATAATATAACCGATGTTTCCAGTGCTATATATTTCTTTTGTTTTCATGCTTGTACACATTAAGGATATGAGAAAGTCACAAAAACAAGACAGCAGACATAACTTGGAAGAATCTGTAAACAGCAACATTCTTTAAAAACACAGACTATCTATAGTCTTAGATACTATTGTTGCATTTCAGCCTTTCCATGCACTTATTTATTTTTCTGTGACATTTTTAATGGATTTTGAGTCCACAGGAAGCACATGGGTATCATTCTCCATTCAGCTACTAAAAGGATCATTGTGTTTCAGCCCATTTACAATGTATTCCTTGCCTTAGTCACTAAGCTTATTTTAGGAAAGAACACATGAAAGTTGGGTATTTATCATGCTGCCAAAATTAAATTGAGTTAAGCAGGGTATTGCTACTTCTCTTTTTTAGGTTTACTTTGATTTGGATATGGATCATTTGTGTTATAGAAGCTGAAAACACATAGGAAGACCAAAAGAGCTTGCAAGTGGAATAAGTCAGAAATGTGAGCATTGGAACTTAAGTCAAACCTCACATGTTGAGATTATTTTTATTTCAACTATTCTCTTTCACTTGAGGTATTTGCTTTTTATTTCTCAAATTGTATTTGCCCTTCAGTGACTTTGCAGCATCCTTCCCACCACCTGGACTAAGAAATGAATTTTGTGGCTGTTTACATTAACATGTCTTGTAAGGTAAATCTATCCTCTATGTTCCCATCTGTCTCATGTTGCAATTAGAAGAATTCTGAAAGATCTTATATCTTGGAACATCAGGAATATCAGCTAATACCTTTCCAAGTGATTTTGTAGTAGTGCAGAAATGTCCAGATTGGAGCATTTGAAAGTCAGAAGCAACTTTGGTATGTTCACTTTCAATTTTTTGTGTGAATTCACTAGCCTAAAATCTCTGGTGATTCAACTGAGCATTTGGCTCAGCTCTGGCCTTAATCATTTGACAGAGTTTAAGTAATTTGCTTTCAGTGCATCTAATTCATGGTCCTTAAGTTGCTATTCTCCAAAATTTTGTCAACTGTTTCTGCCTAAAAATATCAAACTCTAAAAGCCTTGCTATGATCAATATTTCTATAAAGTCTAATGAATGATAGGAGCAAACCAGTGATTTTCCACATTGGTTAACCATTTAAATGTTTGATGGTTTTTTCCACAGATTTTCCCTTTGCTTCTTTACATGTTGACTTAGTGACTTAATTTTACTGTCTTTGCCAGCCTCCTCATCTGAGATGTCCTTGAATTCTTCATAGAATGGTTTGTATTGGAAGTGACATTAAAGATCATCCTGTTCCCAACCCCTGTCATGTGTGATTCCTTTTCCAGTCTGTTCTGCTAGTGGGAACATGAGCAGCTGCCAATTACTCTTACATGGTAGTTGCTGTTTAATTGTCAGATATTCTGTGTGCTCAGGTAAGAGCCATTATAGCTGGGATTTGGTAGCACAGTGCACGAGTGGTGTGAAACCCTTAACTTTTCTGGAGGTCAAGTCCATGCTACCTGAGTAGCAGCTTCTGCTTTCAAATCCACATGGTATGTATCAATAGAATTTCTCTGATTTCTGCAGTGGGAATTCTGACTTCTCTTTGTAGGCTTTGGAATTACATTACATCTAGACACAAGACATATCAGTCTCTCAAAGTTTCACTAATATGCAATGTACTTCTGTTGGTTCTGTTCCAGATTTGTCAGCAATCTGGCTTTGATTTAGGCAAGTCAAGTTTCAGGGTATTGCCATGCATGTGTCTTGAAGTGCAGCAGTGCTCTTTTACAGGCGAGACTCAAGGTCTGTCTATCAAAGTAGCTCTTGGGCTTTTTTTTTGGAACACAGCTATGAGATCTGTGAGATACCTCTCACTGCAGATATGAAACAAATGTGGCTGCCCCTGCAGCGTGCTGAGAAATGGAGTATTGCCGTGCATGTTAAGGCCCTGAAACTCTGCAAGACAGAATGCTACTGACAAACTTTGTGGTTATATTCTGAAAAAGATCATGATACCAATGTAATGGAGTAATTTATCTTTAGAATGCCGTTTTCTGAAAACTAAGTTTAGGGCTCCTATAGTTTGTGGGACTCCTAAATTTGCAGTATTTTTGACTGGGAAAAAGAAAAAACAAGCTCTAAGCCTTCTTAATTCTGTAATTTGTTAAATACAGTACTTTGCAATAGCTTGGAAACTTACTTCAACTATAATTTGGAAGAGTAAAAATATTTGCTTATGTGGATAAAATCTAAACTGAGCTGGTACTATTCTGACAAACAGCTGACTTTTTTTTCCCCCTTGAATTACTATTTATTGAAACCAGACTTTGATGCCTACATTCAGTGTTGATAAACTTCCCAATATAAGGATTTGTTAGAAAACAAAGGTTTTAATAATGAAAATACCTGCAATTTTATAATTAAGGAAATTTGTGGGAATTTGATTAAAAATTAGTTTTAATTTAATTTAGACTAAACAAAAATTTAAAAGAGAAAAATGTGTCTAACTGAAGTATATTCATTTTGCCTAGAGAATACTTTTTATGTGTATAGATAAGTGCTCATGCAGACATTGAGATTTTCATTGTCATTGTATTTGAGGGAGTGATATTTTTTGAATACCCCAAATGTTCGCAGAGCTTCTATCTCTGCTACTTATCTCTACAAACATCATTTCATTATAATGTACAGGCAGGTATGTCATCCCTCCTGCTCACAACAGACAAGGATCACTGACACCTATGTTTGAAATGAGGGTCCCCCGCTATAGTAGAGTGGTAATGTGGAGAGTTTGCTGAAAAATATATCACATGGACATGATATAGGAGTAAGTTATTCAAATAACATGTAGCTTTGGCTCTTGGTCACTTCAGCGAAAATGCTTGTGGCTACTTAATGAAGTTTTCTCTGGTAACTTGTGAGAAATGCTTCTGTACTAATGGACAAACCAGACTCAGGGCAAATCTGGAACACCTTGGTTCGGGTAGAAGTATCACTACTCAGTGACATCCAACATTAACAAATTTCAAACTGATTCTCTTGAATGAAAAAAATCTGAGCTCATTACTAAACTCACAGGCCATTTTGCTTGCTTTCTGAAGATTTCAGACTGAAGTACATCTTGGCTTAAGAGCACTGACTTTTCAATTACTTTATCATCTATCTTTGAAACTATAGCCAAAGTGATGGCCTTGAGCATCTTGCAGCACTCTTGGGCTTGATCATGACTTAAGTCCTCTATGTTTTCTTTTTCTGAATGGTACTGGCTGACCTTGTTTAGCATTAATTTTATTAGTTAGTCCTCTGGAAAGTTTCTGATATACTGATAAACAAATGATATGAAACATTACCCCTTTCTGCTTGCCTGAGACGGTCTATCTTATATTCAAATGCTTGTCTTCCTAATTTCATTTTCCCTAAACAGATTTTATTTTTATTTGGTCTCCCATTTTTCCTTATGAAGAACTTTTGAAGAAAACCACAGTGTTTTTAGTTTACATGATTAAAGTTCTCAGGTAGTTTTTTGCTCAGATGTTATTTCTGCAACAAGCTTTAATAAGAAAATAAGAGAAATCTTCTAGCATCTGAGAATGTCATGTATGAAAAATAGAAATGAACCTGTGATCAGCATCCGGCTCAAGCTCCCAGTGTGGGAGCTGTTGCTCTTACACATATTGTGCTGCTGCAGAAGTGGGAGGAGATGAAACTTCTGCCATTCCTATGGCATCACTCAGCAAGGTGTAAATGAAATATGAAAGAAACACTTTCAGCCCACTCAATGCACAGACAGACAAAAAGATAGTGTTTTATGTTTGCTGCTGTGATATGCTATTTGTTGTAGTATTAACCTTACACAGTGCCAGTATGCTTCCTAAGATTTACAATCTCAGGTCAAAAGGGAAATGATTTCTTGTTAGGTCTCCTTCTTTTTATCTCCTTCCACTAACATGCTGCTGCATGTCAAAGCTGGTTTTGCAGGGCAGGAGTGAGGTGAAAAGACTGACAGGAGGATCCTGTTCTGAGGGAAAGAAATTGTGTGTCAGTAGGCACAGTTTGCAATGAACTTCAGGGTAAAAATGATAAAATCTGAACACTGAATGCAGCTTCAGATTCAGAAATGTTTGCTGACTTCATTTTATTGAGTTGCAGTTCATCTGGGTGATTTGGAGGGAAGGAGCCATAGGTGGTAATGCATCCATGATGTGTTTAAATTCATTAGCGCTGGGGAGTCTGTTTGTGTTGCTAGGTAGCTCATTTGGTGTGACAGCAGTCTTTGGATGCAAATGGTTTTCAGCCCAGTTTTGCTCTAAGTCTTGCCCTCATAGCTAAACAAATCACTACCTAGATCTTTGTGGCATCCTTACTGCTCACTATCTTTAAGCCATAACCCAGTCTCCTGGCAGCCCCCTTATTATTTGGCTGGAAATGTTCAATGGTTGGATCTTCTGAACTAGCTCCTAAGCTGGTGTAAATAATGCGGCTTCACTGATGTCAGTAATGGTATCAGGCCAGTTTACTCTAGCTGAAATTCTGTCCTTCAGACACAAGTCAGCACCTAATCTCCATGATATTCACACAGAGGCATGTATTTCCCTCTGTTTTTCTAATCTTTATGTGTCCCTTGTAGAACTCTGTGATTTGTGCTAAAAACAGTGCTGAGAAATAAGATGAAGTGACATGAACACTGGTTTGAAATGCTGGATATCTGAAACCCTGCCTTGTTCTGACTGAGACCTTTGTATGACAGCACAATTATTTCACTCTTTATGCCTGCACTCTTCCCGTCACTCTTCCAGTCTTAGAGAAGTGTGGGGATAAAGTCAACAAAGGTCGAGATGCTGCAGTAAGAGAGGCTGCAGCACAGATCAGTAGATAAAATCTCAAAAAGCCTCACTATGGTCAGAGAGACACATCCAGTAACACCTCTGTGAACTAGCACAAATGGAAAAACGCAGCAGCCTGCAAACTGCTCGGCTACTGCACTGCTGTGTGAAGGAGGGGTTGTGTGTGTTTGGACTTCTGAGCACAGTGGGGTCTCTCTCCTCCGGTTACAGTGAGCACAGAGACAGCAGGGATCCATACCATGATCTTTCTACAAGGCTGCACAGGAGCAAAGGGAACGTGCAGGACACATATATTCAGGCTGGTTCAGCCTATAGATCTAAGAATTCTGGAAAGACAGGATAAAGTCTAATGGGGCTGGTTTATATAAATGCCATTCTGACTAAAGCAGGGAGCATAATTATAAGAAATTACAACTTGTTTCATCCTGCAACACTCACCTGCCAGTGATGACATGTTTGTAGGGAAGGCTTTGTGATAAGAAATCAAACCAGCAAGATTCAAAGAGAACCAGATGCCTTTGTAAAGGCATGAAGGCAATTGGGTCATTAAAACATGCTACAGGCTGTTTTGGCATATGGCGAAGGCCACGATAGCACTCATGTAATACTTGTATTAAATCTTCTTGCACCAAAGGGCTCTTTGGTGCAAGAAGTGAATGTCACATACATTGTAAAAAGCTGCAACACTATTGGATGAACAAAAAATTGAAAGACCATTTGAAAGTGGCCTTTCAGAGGCCATTGCTCTGGTTGCTGGAGCTATACATTTCCCATAAAGCAATTTAATACTTAATTTTTGGTTTGACTATTATAGACAGAATTTTCTGCTTCAGCCCTTTAATGAGTTCTAAGTAAAATAAAGCTTCCTTATTACTAAAATTGAGAAGGTACTAGAAACAGGACTTGCACTGCTGCAACTGAAAGTTGCGAATAATAAAATCTCAACCTAATCAGATAATATTTACCACAATATAAATTGCTTTTCTCTAGAATAAACGATGAAATCATGTTTTAAGTATACTACATACGGGACCAGGCAAGGGCAGGAGTTATTATTCTGTCTTGTATCAGATTGATCATAAAGGTATTGCTATATTATAATGTCACTATAATATACAAATGCTGGTCAGATGTGCATTTTAAAATGATGCCATGTTGCTCTTCTAAACAATTTCCAAAATTATAAATTATTTACATAAAGATGAGTCATTGATGATCTTACTTTTTTATTTTAGACTGTAAATTCATGTTTACAAACCCAAGAGATGTACACTCATTCATTTAATATGTCTGACTACATTATTTTAGAATTGTCTGTGATATTATTACAGGCAATTTAACTCAGGGTATTAATTTAATTTTTAATGAAAACTAGCATTGTGACCTTATTCTAGGGAAAAGGATGGGTAAGAAGCAGAAGCTGTTGGAAACAGCTGCATTTTGTAATAAATTTGTTGCTGTAATTAGATTTATTTATATTTTTCTATAATTTGTTTTTCTATATTTTTTGTTTAATTTTTTCTTTATTTTCTGAAAAAAAATATTACAGGTGGTAGAAAACAAACCAAAACACAGAAGATTTGGGATCATTTAAGTGAACTATCAGGTAGAAAATGCCGTTTAATATAGAAAAATGTTAAACAATTCATCTGGGAGGAAGGAATCAGTGTAAGGGATCTGTATTAAAAATGCAGTCATTCAGCATACTGATTAGGAAAGAGATGAAATAGTTATAGAGAAATAACTGCAAACATGAATTCCAGTGCATTGTAGCATTAAGAATTTTGAACAATATACTGGGGAAGAGAAAGCAACATAGCTATCATAGAAGCTGGATTGAAATTTCATTCAAAACAGGATTTCAGTTTCTTGCATTTTTTCCTTAGTGGATGAAAAAAAAGAAAAATAATTGCTCAAAGCAGTTTTTCATATCAGTGAAATATTTCCTTTAACATTTGCATGGAAATGTCTGTTTTTTCAGAATCTACTCTCTCAAAAGGGACTGCTCTATATAGAAAAAAAATGCGCCAAACCAGAAATTCCAGCTATACAGATGTGTACATCATTTACAGATGGAGGAGTATTGATGCTGCCTTAAGCTTATACTCATATTAAACTGAAGTGCAATGCAGGGAATACTGCATGTAGTGATTAACTCCTTACATCTGAACTACCGGAATAGTCAAGAAATAATTTCTGGTTTTCAGTTCTTTCAGGCTGTTTTTCTGCCCAGCATCTTCTTTACCGAGATCACAGGTAATCAGAAAAGCAGAGGGTGCCAAGTTAAACTCTTGGGTACGTTTGAATGACGTGTTAGTCCTGTTAGCTGTTTCCAGAGTCATGCTTTTATCGAAGTGCTGCAGAATATGGTCAAGTGCTGTCCAGGTATCCATTTGCCCTGCTTCCTTAGATTCTCATAATGCAAAATTTTTTTTTTTCATGTTTCTGCATCATCTGTACCTATGCTTCTCCAATATTCTCGTTTAAAAGCCTTTTGTGCTGTCTCACTTTTTTTTTCTGTTGGACTAGAAAACTGGATTGTGCTGCATTAGCATGGGGCAGCGTGTGCATGTCTGCCTCTGTTTGTCCAGCCTGTGTGCAACCCTGCCAGGGGCAAGGCAGGACCACAGCACTGCTAGGCACTTCTCTCCCGGGACAATGGCCCATTGTCATGCCAGCTTAAGAGCTGCTCTACTGTCTGCCCAGCCCATGAGAGGTCAGCGGCTGGGGAGATGAGTGTGTGTGTCAGCTACTCCTGTTCACAGTGAAGTATTTTAACATCCTAATTTACACGGACAATTTAATTAGAGAGGGACTGGACATCCATGCCTTCCTGACAGCATTGCAAGAAAGACATGATGCCCAAAAGATAGGTAAGAATCAGCAGGAATATATTTTGTCGAAGCATGATGTCATAGGTGTTTTAATGCATCACTGCACAAGAACAGGAGGTTACCTGGCAGCTGTGGTGGGTGTGGGAATACTGCTGAATGTATTCTGCCAAAACAACTGACACAACCGTTCAGACACATTCAGAAGGATCACATTTCAGCAGAGTTGTATGGTGTGGTCCATGCATGTATCAGAATCTCTATACCTATAATCTCTGTACTCTTATACCACTGCCATTTAGTCTTTGAAATGGCAAAAATTTCCATCAGAGGGATGCTACGTGCCACCTATCACATCAGCATCCTGCACAGCTAGATTGGAGCAGGTGACCACAGAGCCTGGCTTTATTTTCAAATACATGCTTATTTATGCAAATATATGCTTATGAAGAACAGGGAGAAGAAAAATATTATCGGTTTAAAAAAAAAAAGTCTCTGCAGAGATCCTCACTCAATACCCTTTGCCTGACTTCGTGTAGGGGCCAGAGACCAGCAGATGGCAATCTCCTCCTGTCTCAGGAAGAGCAATGTTTTACTGCGGGGCCCTTGTACGCATCTTCCCAGTGCTTATTGCAGTTTACTTGAAGGGCAAAAAGACCTGGAAAACGTAGGCAGCCTTTGTTAGGCACAGAATGTCATAATATGGCAAAGCAAAAGTGAATTTCTACTTTATGCAAATCCTAGCTTCTGGTATCTGAGAAAGAAAAAGCAAGCTAACCTAATAGAATGAATTTGTATTAGTATTTTTCATTTTGAAATACAGGACACAGGGCTATTTTACAGCATCATGCTATTCCTCCTGTGCGCTGCTAATCTTTTAATGCGCACTTTAGAAAAAAAGAAAATTGTTGATTTCCCTGTACCCTACATTTCCCTTTCCCCGTCAGTGTTTAAAATGGGAAGAAATAATGTGATCCTCAGCTGACTTAAAAAGGAGTCAAGGAACAAAAGAAAAGCATTTTTCTTCCTATAGTGACAAATTTGCCATGCTAGAGTAATGTGTCCAAGCAGCAGTGTGAGTCTAGTTTAGCATTTGAATTGGAAAATGGATGGTATTACAGGTATTGCTGTGTAATTTTTATACACATTTTTTATTGTGGAGAAGAAGATTAATGCTGCTAATTTCAGTCATGTGAAACTCTGAGCTGATAAAGGAATGATATTTTTTGAAAAAGCAATATTCCTATTTTCCTTTTGAAAAAGGAATATTCCTGTCTGGTGCTGGAAATAATTTTGTCAGCAATCTCCCCATAGTGCTTTAAATGACTATGCATTATTTCATGAAGTATCATACTGCAAACATTTGATCATCCATAACATAATGATGGAATGATGGAAAAGAAGACTAAATTAATATTTTGGATAGTCTGACACTGATAATAATATGAGAAAGCATCTCTGTGAATGTAGGATTTTCTGTACTATCCTTCAATGTAATTCTTGATATGCTGTCCATCTGGTACCCTCTACAGTAGATTGCAGTCTTGATTTGTTACATATTACTACTTAGCCGAGTGGCATGGGCATCCCTTTATGAACAGTGTTCATAAGAGAGCAAAAAGTAGCCTGTGTCAGTGCCTTTAGGACAGGATGGAGGGGCAAATACTATATTAACTGTGCAAAGACTGGGAGGAAAGCAATGCTTTCACTGCTGAGCAGGAGACCTGAAAGCACTGTGATCATGCATGTCAGCATAGCTGAGGTAAGGGGAGCTGGTTTAAAGTGAATATTACAGCCAGGGCTGATTCTTGTGCTTTGTTTTACTTTATGGAAGGGATTTTCATCGGACTATGTTAATACTGTATGAGCTGTAAAACGTTATGAAAAGCACTCTCTATAACCAGACACTCCACCATGTACAGCTTACTCCAGCTTACAGGTCCTCCTGCATTTTACAGGCAGTCAACATTTCTTTATATAAGAAAACCAGATAGGGAGGAACCCAAAATGCTTGTAGCAACATTGTGTTTTGAGCAAAACGTAGACTGATGGACATGCCATAACAGAAGATAAAAACTGGCTTATATTAAAATGGGTGAAAAGAAAAGAAATCGGTTGGTTCAGTGGATAGAAGGAATTGATTTATGAGGAAAATTTATAGAACATTAAATTTTCTAAATGACAAGGGATAAAAGTGGTTGAGTACATGCAAATATAGTTCTGAAAATATAGGCTCATTAGCACAACAAATATTGCTGGAATTATTTTTCATGATGAAAAGAACATCTCTTGTGATTATATTAAATAGGAAAACAGAAATTAAAATTGCCTTTTATGCAAAAACCTTTATGTTGTAAGCCATCTTCCAAAGGAAATAATACACTTCCACTGCTTGAAACAGCTAAATGTTCATTGTATAATATAAGATGGGAATATATAAGCCTTTTTCATCTCCATCTTGTGTGCTTAAATGACAAAAAAAAGCTACTTACAATTTCTTCTAATCCAGAGTGAGCTGAATGTTTGGTTACACTACGGTACTATGGTGGCAGAGTGAGAGAATTATTTTCAGTACCTACAGTCAAAATTTGTCATGATACCTACATTTGGTACCTCAGTAACACGTGTCCTCTGTGGAGAACAGGGATATGTCCTTTTAAAGGTGATTAAAGGTGCACAATTAAAGCAACAGCTAGGCTTAATTTAAATGTTCTCAATCACTCTTCAGAAAGACCAGTTTTTTTTTTCCATTTCCCTACTGTTTAGATGAGGAACCTGCACTCCTTTGAAGCCTACCCTAGAGTCTTAAAATTATAGGTAGCACCTCACTATGTATCTGGTTATATGTATGTGCTTTTGAATCATTTGACTGCTTTTCCAGGGACAGTCATGTACTTTTGTTTTATTTAAAATCAGTAAACAAGGCTACAATTCAAAATTCTCCTTTTCCTCAGCATTTGGGGAGATTTTACACCATGCTGTGTTCATGTAAATGACTACAGAAAATGCAAATACTAAAAAGAAAAAAAGTTGGCTTATTTTTCTTGACAACTGTGAATTCTTTTAAAGCTGTGATTGGTGTTCTTTTTTTTTATCCTAAGCAGGGACTGAGAAATCTGAGGCTACCATACTGTTTTTTAGGGCTGTCACTGGACTTAACTGTTACATGGGTTTTCATCAGCCTTTTTCAAACATTTCTGGAATGCTGCTTAAAATGAAGCTTCTGATTTCTGACAAAGAACGAGGAACGGCAGCACACGTCTTTCTGGTGCCTTAATGACTTTTGGATTGCAGTTCACAGCGATGAAACTAGTTCAATCCAGCAGGATTTAACTAGTCTAAGGATAGTTTCATTCCTTCAGTCCTGCCACATATGTTGTGACATAAATGTTACCAGAGGACTTTTGGGAGGATTTAATTTCTAGAACATTAGGCCCAGAATAAAGTGCTTCCATTGCCATTGACATTTCCAGAACAACTCTCAGAACCTCAGTCCCTCTTGGTTTTATATCAAACCTACAGTTTTATGGGACTGCCATTCAGGTAAGGATATTCTGGTGAAGCAAAATAAACTAACTTGTTATCTGGCATTGTTTTACTGAAGAATTTTTTAATCTTAAATATACACTTAAATGAGAATGGAAGGATTTTTATAAAGCGGAGGAAACAAAATATTTACTATGAAAATTCAACAGTGTTGGACTTTTGTGCCCGAAGTTTAACACTTGTTTGTACTTTTTGTTTTTGCAGTAGGAAATAATTTTGATTTTTGTTTTGTTTTGTTTTCTTGGTGTTACTTGAATTTCTTTCCAGTAAACTAGTGTAACCCATGGTGGTGCTACCAGTGAGAATCAAACTCTCAGAAACCATGATGTTATGCTTGAAATCTCTTTTCATGGGGAAAGAGAAAATGTACCTGAAGTACACATATGCACAGGTATCTAAAAAGCCAAAAAGTCTTTAGGTAAGTGAAATTTAAGAATTGAATAATAGTTAGTCCAGATGAAGCCATTACAATAAAAGCAGGGATAATAAGGTAGTTAAAATTGTATACATGCACTTTCTATCCTGTTCCTGATGTCATACTCACCTTTCCGCTGCTCCTCTGGTCCTAATGTCAGTGTTTTTATTCTAGTAAGGAGGTTAACAATGAGTTGTCAGCACTTGAAGTCCATCACTGAGGTGTGATGTTCATGATAATGATTTCTTCTTCACTCAAGGATGCAGTTGTATCTTTTTAGATTTTAACCAACATGCTTGTACATCTTGGTTCTTTGTTCGTCTGCAGATCCATGCTAATCACAATTTACCACACTTGGTACTTTTTATGTATTTTATATAGTATTTCTTTGTATTCTGAGCTGCTACTAAGCTTAGTTTTGGCCATCTCTAGGTCTGCATTTCTTTAATGGAGTACTGAGGAATTGTTTACAGCTGTGCAACCTCCAGAGCCAATCTGTGCCCCTTCTTTTTTCGTCCCATTCTCCTCCATATCACATTCTTTGTCTTTGCCTCTTAAGACCTCTGCATGGCAGGCTTGTATTTCCTATGTTACATTATTATGCTGGGTTTGTAAAGCTATGGTGATATCACACAAAAATCAAAAAAAAAAAGAAACAAATTAGCTATAGCGAACAGATAATTAAAAATACTGGTAAAGCAACTGTCTTGGAGCAACCCCAGATGACAGCTAAATACCTTGTATCTGCTTGCTTCCTACTCCTTTTCCCACAACTCACATAAAACCCATGGGTTGAAGTAAGAATAATTTAATTATTGAAATATATATTAATAGACATCTGAAATAAAGTAAAATATGATAGTAAAAATGATAATGAAAAGAAGAGGAAGAGAGAGGAGTAAAAGTCAAGAAAAAGTAATGCACAATACAATTGCTCACCATCCACTGACCAATGCTGGCCCTGTCCCAAAGCAGTGATCAGCACTTGGCCAGTTTTCCCCAGTTTATATGGTGGGCTTAGTCTGTGGAGTGGAACATCCCTTTAGCCAGTTTGGGTTGAGCTGTCCTGGTGATGGCCCCTCCCAGCTTCTTGTTGCACCTCCTCAACTGACAGAGCATGGGAAACTGAAAAATCCTTGACTTTAGGCAAGCATTGCCTAACAACTAAAACATCAGTTTTAGTTGAATCTGAATCCAAATAACAGCATTGTATCAGATGCTAAGAAGAAATTACCTCTACCCCCAGTGAAACCAGGACACCAAATAAAACAAAACCTGCAGATAGGTCAGTAAAGCTTGGACAGAATAAGCCTGGCAAACTTCTGTCCTGAGGGAGTGCAAATTCAGTACAAATCTTATGGCTTGCTACTGGCAGTGACACTGGTGTATTCCAGAGCTATATGGCTGTAGGAGAACAGGTGGCACTGAGCAGATTTCCTGCACTGATATTCCCTAATGTTGAGGCTGTAATCTTTTGTATTTGATTAGTTTAAGCCAGCTTTCTGACAAACGACTTCACAGCTGATGACCTGATACAGTCAGAACTTAAATAATACAGGAAAAAATGTTGTGGCAGAAAGACAATGATAAAAGACGTCTCCACAGAGAGTGTTCTCGCTTTATGTGAAAACCGGGTGTTTTCCTCTTCAGTCATGCCAAAGCAGGTGTAGAAGTCATCTATGTTTACTCAATCACAAGGGCAAATTTTAAAATGAAAGATGAAACCTTCCACTTAAGGGAAATAAAGTTCAGGTGCAGTACTCAGTAATTCTCTGCATTTAAGTTACACTGAATATTTGCAGCTATTGGGACAAAGGAAACACTTATTTTGATTTACGATCACTTTGATTTTTAATATGTGTGTCAAAATCTGATCCTCATGATCAGCTTACTTGCTTTCAGCCCAAGACCTCTGGAGAAAGATAACAAAGTAATATGTCACCTTCACACTTTGTTAAAAAATGTTGGAATGGAAAATAAAGAAGGGACAGTCAGGGCTCTATTAGCGAAGATCTTATCTATGTTGGAGCAGAGATGCCTTTATTCTGATGCTTGCTCCTAACACATATCTTTTGTTACATAGGAATTGTACCTTGAGACCTTAGTTTTTATTCTTCCACCACTGACCACTAGGCTAAATGTTACATTGCAGAAACACATTTGTCTTCCTCTTGTTTCTATCCATCACCATGATACAAGAAATCTTTATGTATTTTTTGGCACAGTGTCAGTCAGGAGGGATAAGGGGATGGTCAGTCTTTTTTGTAAAAGTGAACTCTATAACCTAGGGACAGCCTTCCCATGGAAAGGAGAAATGTGGCTGTAAGATATTTTCCCCAGGGCTCAAGGGAGCAGTGGAGTAATTTTCCCCCTTACTAAACAAGCACTCTACCATATTATTGTTTTGTAAAGGTTGACATAATATCCAGATAAGTTTTAAACAAAATCCCAAATAAACATTATTTGTGTCTGGTGTTAGTATTTTTTAAGAAAGCTCTTGGAACATGTACAAGGTGAGACCTTTCATAGAGTTTAGTTGAATGAAACCTAGTTACTGACCTGTAAGTTGACTTACATCTGCTGGTCAAATTATAGCAATTTTGTTCCCAGCTAAAAATCCAAAATAACATGTTTTGCAAAAATGAACAGTTTTTAAAAAAGACTGAAGTCTTAAAGTGGACTGAGTTTGCAGAGTAAAGTATTATATCCCACTATGGAAAGCACCTATTAATCTTAAAGATTGTTATCATCGTGCAATACAAAATCAGGCAGACATTCCAAGCAGCCAGGCAAATGCAAAATATCAGATTAGATGCTTTCTAGCCACTTTTATTCCCTGTTATGGAGAGAGTTACATGAAGAAAGGGAAAGAATTACAGTAAAAAAGTCCGTTCTAGCAGAAAAAGGCTACAGTGTGTCCCACTGCATTGCAGGTTACCCAAAGGGAAGATCATGCAACTTCCTTGGGCAAAAAATCACCTACTAAGCTCTTTTGTTGAGAGGAAAGGGTAGTAGCTGTTGATTCAGGCAACGTGGGAAAGGGCAAATGCAGACTGAACATCAAGCTAAGAAGAAACTGTGAATTGTAGAGAATGTTTTATAGGAACCATGAAAACTAGCCTTTAAAAAGCACCTTGAGAAACATGAGATTATCCTGCTCAAAATGAGAGAATGTGATGTCTTTATTTCCTTTGCTTTGCATATGAAATGCTCAATCAATAAATAATAAGTCTTCTTCTTTTATTCCAGGAAATGTACTTATCTTCCTCTTGTTGAAAGATAAAAATAGCTAAATAATAATGTAGTATAAAAGCTGTTTTTTTGTAATTAAAACTAACAAGATGGTTGCCTTGTACTTCAGATGAGATTGTAAGACTGAGAGAATAACATGACAAAGGTATCCAACAATTGAAGTCTGGGCAGTTATATTTTACACTACACTGGTACTTCTGAGCATGAAGGAAGTATAATTGTGTATTATAGTGCAACAACTACATTAAGTGTTGGAGTTCTTTTCCATAGCTCTTAAATTCACTCTTCTCTTTCAGAAAACTACTTAGTGTTAAGACAAGTTAGGCTGTGTTTCTCTGGCTGATTTGAAGAGGGATATGTACCTAAGAGTAAGATTTTATTTCCTTGCTTGACTGTCACTATTACATCCATGAATTAAAAATAATATTTCAAGCACAGTGATTATTTATATAATCCCACTATACTGCTATTTTCTAAAAGCAGAAATGTTGCATGAACATGCACACACTCATCCATTTGAAATTCACTTTATTTTACCAGAAAAACATTCAGAGAGGGTCAATTCTTTAAAAAGGGTAAACCCCCAAATTCTAAGTAGTGGATTAACAGCAGTATTTATAGACATTAAGGTGCAGATATTCAATAGTATCCAGTTACCTAATTCTATTAATCTCAGCAAGCACATATTTACATTTCTGGCAGATAAAATACTTCTGTAAATCTGTCCCCTGATTTATAACTTAAATATGTATTGCCACTTTTCACATGTACAATATTTCTGATTTTTCTTCTTTCTGTAGCTGGGATTATCACATGCCTTCCCTTTGGGTTACAAGTATGGAAGAAAAGAACAAAGAATTGTTGAAGTGTCTTTGGAAGAATGCCAGGTCAGTGAACCACAGATATTAAAAGCAGAGGAAAAAGTCCATTGTTTCACCTAGTCTGACCTTTGCTTTCTGCAGTGTTACTCATACAACATACTTACTAACCTCTAAATCTAACCTTTTTTGATGGTTTCTAATTCTAAATTGGTAAAGGTGGGACATGCAATACTTCCACCTTGAATATTAGAAAGGAGGAAGGCTAGGGATTGTAAAACACATGGATATCCCGACTCTAACTATTAAGAAGTTTTTCTTTTTCAATCTCAGTTAAACTGTTTTCTCCTTAGGTATAAAAATGTCTTAGCATTTTCATCCTTAGGTAGTCTGATTTACAGGCTTAAGATCAGAAAAGCATTATGATAAACTTTTACTCTGACCTTATGAGTAATACAGGTCGTAGAATTTCATCAAGTAATTCATTCAGTGGGGAGAATTATTCTTTACATCTATGTAAGTTAATCTCTTTCCTTCATTAATTTTGAAGAAAGTATTAATAGATTGAGATCTTACTCTTCCCTGTTTGACAGCCTTTGCTTATCAACACAACATAAAATTAGGTGGTCTTTCATGGAGTTTTATTTTCTTACCTTTATATTGTCTGTGAGTGGTCTTCAGAAAGTGCTAGATTTGTCTATAAATAATAATAAAGAAAATATAATAAATTACAAGACTTCTTACTTCAGGAAATGTACTTATCTTCCTATGGCTGAAAAACAAAAATAGATAAATAATAATGTAGTATAAAAGCTGATTTTTTGTAGTTTAAAAAAAAAATGACAGAATCCAAAATCAATGAGAAATAGATATAATTCCACAGAACCAATATGTCAATGATGTGAAATTTTAAATAATAAATTATTCATATCCAGGAAATCTCAAAGGGTCAGTGAAAAGTCATATAAAATAATTACATAACCTTCTATTTGGGAAAAAAACCCAACAATAATCCAAAAACCATCAGGAAAAAACAGAGGATGATGATATTAACATCTTTTGTCTAATCAATACCTTACATGTTTCAATTTTAATTCACCATACAGGCTAGTATGTGAGAAATTATTCTCATGTTACATATTTTCAATTTATGATAAATATTATTCTTTATTCATATTGTCAACTGTGCAGATGCTACCCTACAAGACTCAGTTTCCTTTACTTGGTGTTCTCTCTACTCACTCAATTTATCAAGCTTCCAAGGGAGAGTAGAAACTTGACATAAACAAATGTTTATAGACAGAGCCGATAGATAGGCTATATTACAGTTTCTAGGACACCATGTATATGAATTTAAGTAAAGTTTCTTGAAATGAGACTGTTACGATTTTTATAGTTGTTTCCAAGCCCTAGTTATTTCCAGAGAGTTAGATTTATTTAAAAGGCAAATACACAGACACAGATAAAGCTCCATATCTCTAAGATTTATTCCTAATGACTAATCTTAATAAGTAAATAACAACTGATTTTCACAAATTTGGGCAACAGAATCTTTGTCAGTACAGAACTTTGAATTACCTTTATAATTTTTATAACATTAAAAAATTAGTTCTAATCTAAAAAGAAATTACAATTGTTACAATAAATCATTATAGTCGTTTATAACGGTCTCTGCAGGAGACAGTATGAGTGTAGTATTTCTGTAAGAAAACGTGCTTGTTTTTACTTTGAGTGCATACTCAAGAGCCCATAATGAGTCCTTGGAGATAGTACGCATATGTAACTTAGTGAAGAAATTAATTAAATCTGCTGAGTTTTTTTTTCAAAATAGTTGAATGCACAGATTTGTGAATAAATGGTTTCACAGGTTTAAATTTCACCTATCCAGATAACTGCTGCACTTGATATTTTCTAACCACTGCAAGCACAAAAATAGTGTCTAAATACCACCATGGAAGTGACCTGAAATTAACAACATACCTTGGTTCCCATGCTGGAAACCACCCAGAATGTGATTGAAGGCTGAACCACAGACTATTTTGTGGAAATATGTTTTTTGAGTAGCTACTTGCACACACATGTCTGGTACAAACCTATAAAAACAAGATTTAACTATCCTTACTTAATCTTACGATTTATCTCTTATTCATGCATCTCCTTTCAACCATATACATTTTTTTTCTATCACAAGTGTCCCATCTGTCAAACATCATAGCTCCTTTAGGTTTTTTTATTTTTGCCTCTCTACACACAGCTCTTTTCATACTTCACACAGCTCCTTTCATACTGCTAGTAATTGAAAAATATTCAGTTGGAAGAAGAGATGAAAGTCAAGTCATGTTCTGCTGGGGATCAAGTGTGCACTGTAAATTTGGAAAACTTGGAAGAGCGTAGCAAAGGCTGTGGTGTTTCATACATGGTTGAATTCCTTTAATTCTGCTTTTTTGGAGAAGAATAGAACTAGTCCTCACTAGAGTGTGATAGATTAGATAAAATATAGAATTAGATGTTGATAGTTCTTCTGAAAAGTGATTTTACTTGTATCTGCAATATACACCAGCAGCAGAAGAGCCACAAGTATGTCAGGGATGATATGCAGTTGGTGATTTCCCAACAAATTCGCAGCACTGACTGCTCTGTAGGATCCACGATGACTCAGAGCAGTGTTTTGAGGTTCTGCCACCAGATGGTGATAAAACATGAAGAAGAAAAGAGAAAAAGTTGACACAGTAGATCTGATTGAAAGAATGCAGCCATTCTGTCGTCTTCCAGACCCATTCTCTCACGTGCTGTGGGACATGTAGTGCATTTTGACGATGGCAGTGTGAGAACTGCATAGAGTTTGATAGATTAGAGTTTTGCATAACTTTGCAACACCTGCCTCTTGGAGCCTTTGAAATGTCATTGCAGACTCTGTTGAAGACCTATAGTAAGAATATTTGAAAAGATGAAGGGAGAGGTGGAGCTGGAAGGGGAACAGGGCAGTGGAAGGAACTTGGGGTTGAAAAAATCACAGTGAATTCAAGCTGTAGGGATCAGTAAAGTGTGAAATAGTTTAGGATAAGGAAATTAGGGAAAGTGGGTAGAAGAGAGTTGATTAAAGACTTGGATGCTTTGTACACAGAGGGCTGGAAAAGCTTTTGAAGTTTGTCTCTTGCTATTTGCAACATGCGTCACTTGCTTGGCAAATTATTTAGCACAATATGTAATGTTTGCAGTGTTATCAAATTACAGTCCCACATTCCTTTATTTTCTTTATTTTTGCATTCATATGCATTTTTAATGAAAGCTTGTTACAGTTTGTGCCTTTCAGTGTCTGATGAGCATTTTCTACTTTTTTGGCTCATTTTGTTCTCATATTTGCTAATCTGATATTTTTTATGCATTATAAATCACTTTGGATTATATGCTTATTAGTAATATTTTCTAAGACATTTGAATCATATTTGGGTTGTTATTTATTAGCTGTGATAAGCATCCAGTTTGTATAAACAAGTGCAATTTTTCTATCAGTAGCACTAATATTCAGATCTAGAGTTTCAGATAACAGTCTTCTGAAATGCCCACAGGATTTAAAAAAAAACCTTTGTGAGTTTTATATTTTGGCTGACACCCAGGCTAACAGTGTCAAAGAAACAAAGAGAGCTTTACTATATTTGAGTTTTATATTGTGGTAGATACAATTGCATAATTTCCTAGACATTTCTGCATAATGGTGCCATAATTCCTGCTGTTAAAATTTGCTGTTGAGTTTAGCCATCATTATAACTAAATTCTCTTGCAGACTATAACAGCAGGAAACACTGGTACAATGCATTAGTCACAACAAATTAAATTAGCAAAAAGTTACCAAGATTCTGAGACATAAATATAGGAAAGACACAGCACAATGAGTTTCAGTTTCAGCTGACCTGAGGTTATTCCTTACGGTGTTGGAGAACTAAGGTCTGAAGGTATGTTTGAGTAAGCAGTGGCCAGGTAACCCTTTGAGTTCTGCTCACTTGTTATCTAGCTCCCAGCAGGATAGTATCGAGCTCTCAGCTGGATAGGAGACAAACATCTAGGAATTAGGAAGGAAGGAAGGAAGGAAGGAAGGAAGGAAGGAAGGGAAAGAAAGAAAGAAACAGAAAGAAAGAAAGAAAGAAAGAAAGAAAGAAAGAAAGAAAGAAAGAAAGAAAGAAAGAAAGAAAAAGAAAGAAAAAGAAAGAATAAGAGTAAAAAGTAAACAGCGACTACCCATGTGTTCAGCAATGAGACTTTGTTGTTGCAATTTAACTATGTCTGGCGGTCGAGGTGATGGTACCAGTTTTGCTAAAGTAATGGTCACAATCTTGATCTGTTCCCAGTGGGGGAAGCCCACAAAACACAAAGTCCAGAGTGTTGTTATTATTATATTTAGGCTCTGTGGGAATGCCCAAGTGCCTTCCCTGCTCGGGAAGTTTCATGCTGAATGATGTAATGCTGTGGATTACAGGACACTTTGGGAGTCTTTAATAGTTGATGTCACTGTCTAAGATGTTACAGCTGCCTTTATATCAGCATCTTCAGTCAATTGTGCCTCCTCAGGAGCAAGGAACGCCTTCAGGCCTACAGGTGGATATCCTCATACTTCCCCAGAGGGCTGTTTTCACAGCTGAGTCACTGGCTTAAGGACTTTGGTATAAAAACACTATCCCACATCACAGGATTTGCCTTTTATCAGTCTCTTTCCTTGCCTTGTTCAACACCTAGCTGTAGCCACTGGTGATGGGTGTTTGAATCTATAAGCATTAACATTCCTCACAATGTACTACTGAACATCTTTAAAAGCTGATCTTCCACAATGGACACAAAAAGTCAGTAGCAATTTTGTCCAGAGAGTCTCACAAGACAGTTTAATTTCTCTTGTTAAGGTATCCGACAGTCTTCATAGCATTTTTCCTTAAATTAAGCCTGACTTTAAGTTTTTTTCCCAGTTTAATTCCAGCATTATTAATCTATTCTAAATAATATCTCTGCCTTCCTTGTTCTTCCGAGCAGCTGGACAATAATTGCCTGTTTCACTTCACTAGTATTGAGGGATTCCACTG